TCATCATTCTTTCAAATGATATGCAATAAAGGAAATATTATGCATTGATTGATAGCATGCAAAATGCCATTATTTGAGATCAATGATGTTTGCGTATAAATATCAATGACAACATAAAAACAAAAGAAAGTTGAAACATTAGAGTCATACTGCACTACATTGTATGACACATAAATGCATGTTTTAAAAGAAATTAGTTTACTGCAACATCATATTAAAATGGTGTGTTTATTTTATTGAGACTGTAAGTAGCTGCATGGATTGTGACTTTCAATAAACATTTTCCCTTAAAACAATTGCCCACCCAATTTTCTCAACTAGTTTACACACTGCTGGCCCTTTTTAACAGTGTGGGGAAGATGTCTTGCATTGGCTGAATAAAAAAATGTCTTGTTAGGGGCGTGGCATTTTTACTTCTGTAGTTGGAGTTGCCCAACTCAAAAATATCATTTTTGCTTTTTTTTTGCTTTGGTTTCCGACTAGTGAAAAAGCTAATTATTTCAGACTGCACCATATTGCCATTGTATTTACGCCATGTTCTGAAAAAAAATTTGGCACACTTTTCTTCCTATCATTAACTCACAGTACTTCAAGTAAATGAATGTCTATAGGAGAAGCAACCTTTCAAAATGGCTGTCAGTATTTAAGAGTCCATCTATGTCGATGATTTTCCCTCAAACATAAACATATATTACAGGAAAAATATTGATGAATGTAGCTCTTTGATTGGGGTCTGGCTTAGCCTCCTCATATGAATTATTGGGGGAGATGGGGCCCCCTTAGCCTCCTTTTCTGCCACCCATGTTTTTAACATCTCCCTCATTTCAATGCACTAATGCTGTATGCATAAAATTTCATTTTATGACATCCCTGGCATCAAATGAAATTTTGACACCCCTGGCAGGTATTACAAGAAAAACAGTATTCAATGTAAGTCTACCTCCAGACATAGTTGGACTACCACTTTTTGCATATAATTTTAAAAAGTGTTGTGCTTTTTTTCCATATTAGCCAAAATGTTGTGCAAATTGCACATTGCAATTATTGGAGTGAAGCCTTGTTAGGCGAACTATTTGGTCGAATTATTTTACTATTTCCTGAAGATTTAGCATGGCCAAGTATCATCAACGAGGAAAATGTTGTTTATGCAACTTGTTCACCTCATACGTATTGTGCAGAGCCAGATGGACACAAAAACACTCGAAGCAACAAAATGCCAAAATTATATATACTGCTTCAGCTATGATGATATGATTAATTTAAATCACAAAAACAAGCAAAATTTTATAGCCGAGCGATTTCACAATCAACATTTTTGAAAATTAAACCCAAACCTTTGGATTGCTCACAAAAGACAGAGTGTTACATTCTTACATTTACATAAACTTAATGAATATGGTGCATAAATAATCATTAGATATAAAAAAAATGTAGGATATGCTCCAATGCATAAATACAATGGACTGCAAAATGGGACATTTATGTATACTTGATACAATTTAATAAAATCTCAACAGTACAATTTGCATAGAATATTGAACCTAGCTGGAATACAAATCACAAGAAAACTGTAATGTTTTTAACTAAATTTTGCGATTAAAATTTTTAATTTCCACAAATCGATTTTATTAAAAACAAAGAAAGAAACAAATTACATGCAGAGAAGAAAGATCAGTTAGATCACATTAGAAAGAAAGTTTGGCTCCGCAAGAAAGCAAAATCTATCGCCTCAGAAGAGCAAGAAAATTCACACTTTTTAATTTTCTGGCAAATATGAAGCAATGAATAATCTCTTCTATATTGGGTCAACAATCACACTGAATGACAAGGACGTCACAGTTCATAACATTACAAGGCTATTTAATAATGGCATGTTCAGACTAAATAATACTAAACAACTTTGTGAATATCAATATAGACCGAAATCTGCACAATATACGTACACATGCAATGATAAAAAAACATAAAAAAATGTTTAGGAAGTTTTAATGTTTGGATTCTCCGTATTAACAGTGCTCGATTAGTGTGCGCTGAGCGTAAACAAAGAGGTAGCATAAAAAATCACAATAACCACGATTTCATCCCGACAAGCCTGTTTTGTGATTGCTGGCTCTTCGGGGGATTAAATTGTAGTTTTGGTGATTTTTTCGCTACCTCCAGAGAAAAAATGTTTATATATGTAATTATATCCCTTACCAGCAGTTCCATTTGGGGTTTTCGTCTTAGGATTGCTTTGACGTCCCGGTTTGTTCTTGCTTGTTGATGGATAACGATGACTTCGACGATGGTGACTTCTATGGGCCCGAGAAGGCTTTATTGGTATATGAACTCCAACATAAACTTGTCGATGATCTAAATATACAAATATTGTCACAATTTGAACCAATTCCAAATTTACGAAGAAACAATACCGAAGAAAGGCAATTACAACTTTTACGATATTCGCTCGCGCACTAGAGCACTGCAACTATGGCTTGGTAGTTAGTTCGTGAATCTCGTCCTACCGTTTATATCAATATCATCTATTCCTTGACATTTAAAGTCACTATGATATAGGTCGGCCTCCATGGACGCTCTGTTATGAAAAAATTCTATCGTAATAGTTTACATTGTAGATGGCGAAAGTCAAAACAGTGCCTGACGCTTCGCACGTTTACAATAAAATATGATAGGAGCTACTCTCCACGAGAGTATCACCGGATATTACGTCTTTTGTCAAACAATTCATTGGTTCCCATTGGTTCCCATACACTAGCGAATGGAAGTGAGCAGTCGCACTTTATTATAATTAACATTGTTCCAAAGCTAAATAACATTGACATTGCAAAAATTGCAATTTACTGCAATCAATTTCAAAATAATTTAAGCTTAGAATTTTATGATAGGAAATTGTTTTTTTTAAATGTCGAACATTCTGCGAGACTATGATTAATGTTAGGTAAACATTCCCAAACGCTCACAAGCTTCGACATAAAATATTTGTCGCAGCAAATGAAAATCGCCTAAAGGTTCTAAGCCACCACGGGGATTATTTTCGCAATCACCAGAAATAATTACACTTGAACAACCTTCACGCATGGCAAAACGATTTAGCTAATAAAATAATCACGAACAAAATAGCTCATTAATGACGGATGTGACGAAACGCACGTCATCGTGCGCACGTTGACACGCAGCTCTGTCATTGAAAAGGGCGTATCGCAAAACCTGGTTATCTTTGAAATTAACTGACGTTTGGAACTTGCATGATTTAGTGCTTGAGTTTCTTGCCTTGTATTCGCAATACAGGATGCATAAGAAAGACGACATTTAGAAATTGTCGCATTGTAATAATTTCAACGCCAATCACTATGATCTGCCCACGCATGCATAAATTGTTGTCAGCTACCGTGCATGTATTGCATAAATTGTAGCAAGCACAAACGATTTAGAAATTTAACACACCTTCTGATCGTGTGTACGTTTTTTCAGTATCCATGCAGCTGCGTTTACGTTTGATATGCAAGCTACGTCATGACCGCCATTTTGAATTGTTTCAATAAAAGAATTTCCTTATTTACACTGCAAATAAACTCCAACATGGCGAACATTCCATTGTTCTCTCGCCCCAGAGAAATGGTTGCACACCTCCTACAGGTATTTAGGGCTCGATTGTTGCTGAATAATGTAAATTCTAAGGGTTGGCTAATTTCTAAGATAACAGTTTTCTTTTGAAGCAACCAAAAGTATGCAAACTCCAATAGATTGTACGCAGTAAACAACTCCCTCCCTCTCCTAAGCCAACAATCAATTCCTATCCTATATCTATAGGATTTAGCTTTCTATCCGAAATCTATAGGATCTAGCTTCCTAACGCAAATCTGCGCAAGCCCCCTTTCAACTAACGCATTTGTGTTCTTTGTTTCGCCTAAAGAATGTTACCAAACCTATCAGGGAAACTAATATCTTGGACCAAGCAATTTTATTATCGCCATTTTTTTAATCTAAAATGCTCCCATTAGTAACATAATAGTTATCAGTTCATTCTAGTGTTGTTCAAGACTTCAACAACTCATTGGGGCCAGCAAGCTTGGGTGAAGGGAAACTCACAAAAATACAAACCACAAAATACATAGACATATCAACCCATGAAGACGGTGCTACGTTTTTTGTTTGCTCCTGTGTCTTTGTGCTCAGTCATTAATTCCTGATAGAGAAGGTCAGGTTCTTAAACTATCACGTATTGCTATTAAGTATTAATGAGGTATGTCTTCGAAATAATCTTTAGCTGCGGTCTGTCAACTTTGACAGTAGACCTATTTCATTGACACCTGAGCAAAGAAACATCCTAGAAAAGGCTAGTTTTGTAAATGTGATGCATGGGTGTTATAAAATCCTATACAAGCCGATATTTTTTGAAGTATAACGAGAAACAAACACCGCAGAAAAAGTCTATTATATGTGGGTAGTGACATCATTCGATAACCGAGTAAAAACATTAAAAAATTTATGCCGTGGAAAGGTTGTCCTAACTCTGTCTTAAAATCAATCATCAATAAACTATTGATAAATCAAATTCTTTTTCTCATCACATCTTGCAAAACTATAATTCCGACGATTTGTTGATTAGTGCAAACAATGTTTGAAAGTAAACATTTTGCTAATTGTAAGTGTAGCGAGTATTTTGTATAAATTACCTGTTCATAGTTTGACACATCTGATTTCACTAGACGCAAAATTGTAAATCCACTCCAAGAAGATTAGTATTTCATACCATCTTCCAGAGCAAACTGCAGTCATTTGCTTTCTGTGTTTGATTAAATTCACCAATAGAGTATTGTAAGTTTGTGTGAGTAAATCAAGCAATGTGCAAGCAATGCGAAAAATACCGAATCGGAACTATTCGCAGACAGGACATCGTACCAAGTACACGAAAACCACATTTTCCCAACAAAAAATCCATTCTTTTTTATGACGTTGACGACATTATCAGTAAGGAAAAAAAAACATCATACGTCACGTTTTTCATAAATCCATCCATATATTTATTTTAATCGCTTTTAATTAGTATCACAGAGAAATTCACGTTGTATTAAAATTGTAATAAAGTCTTGACTCCTCAAACGTTCCGTGTTTAAAAATTAATGAAAAATAGACCATTGGCAGCGCCAGTGTTTATATAATTGGGATACCATATTCATACATACATGTTGCAACTTGTAATCACATTAACAATACATTTGAGAATACGAGCCTCTTCATTTATCAAGTTGGCGCCGCCACTAGATGGAGCAATGTAAATAATTATAGAAATCATTTTATAATTTTTAATTACAAAGCACAGTTTAAAGGTTGCGGTTTTAAAACTGTAAAAATAGTTTTAGTTTTACATTCATTTTGGTCAATACACTGACAAAATGGATTTCATTATAATCCATTTCCTTCCACACATCTAGACCTGGAAAAATACAGAGATTCTTAGTCTTACTAACTACGTACGTTAAAAACCAATAACAAATGATATTGACAAGAAATAAGATAAAATAAAGATCAACTTAAGTAAATGTAAATCTCATTTTTATCATAACAATAATTTACCATTTTGCAAACAAGATAAACAACATGTACGCATAGTTTAGCTGCATTCCAGTTTCTCATGCAGCAAAAAACTTACCAAACATTAACTCCATTAATATGGTACATACTTTAAACACTTAATGGCCTGAGTGGTTTCGTATCCTTAACGTGAAGCACATCAACATTATCCTTTTGCAAATTCTCTTCAAATACTTGGTTTTGCTCATCCACAGAAGACAACGTAACCAGTGGAATGACAGCTGAACCGGAGTCATCAACATTGGCCGATGTTTCCAGATCTGGTGCATCCGCAAAAGTCGATAATTTACGTTCCTCGCTACGATGTCTAGAACGCTTGTGTTTATGTTTATGTTTATGTTTGTGTTTGTGTTTATGTTTACGTTCGCGTACACCACTACCATCGCAATCGTTTTCAGTTGATGTTTGTTGCTTATTTCCTTCCATTGATTTCCAAATGGTGCAATTTTTTAGCTCTTCAGATATATTGATGCCGCTATCATTGAACTTCACCGCAGGCTCCTAGAAAGCAAAGCATAAAATTAACGCATTATAACTATACTGTGAGTACCTCTTTATCTCAACAACATTCAAATAAAAACATTAAATATTGTGTGTCAACTAATATGGATTGAGCACTTTTCTCTATGTTTACACCGTCGGTTTCTTAGCTAATTTTTTGGTGTTGATGGAGATATAGATGTAGGACTGACTAAACGTTCTTTTCACTGAAAAAATTGAAGTAAATAAGAAGCAAATTTACTGTGCGTCTGTTCTGCCATTCCAGTAAAATCCTTTTTTAAAACCTCTCGTTGTATACGTCCATCCTTAAACGAGTCCGGTGAATGTAGTTGAACATCAAGTTTTGGCCCTCGACACTTGGGCAAAGACGCCATTTCAAATCACAAGTTCTCAAAAGGTTACTTAAAAACCTCAGTTTACTGTATTTACTACCGTTTGTATAAGTTGCGTTGACCACAATAACAGAACTCGCCATTTTCTCGACACACAAAATGGCCGTCCGGCTGTGATTATAGAGCAATGACTCTTGGTTGACACTTATTCTTTAGCATTACTATTATAAAGTTTCCTAGAGAGAAAGATTACTCGAATCCTCGCTTAAGTTCGTTATAAATGTGCATAAAAAGTAGAAATACTTAGAGCGCAAACTTTTTAATAACAAAACTATAGATTTTCATAGCTTATCTTACCAAAGAATCTTCATGCTCGTCATCAGCTTCATCGATCTTCTTTTTCTTGATAGAGTCTGGTATAACGTCATCAAGAATTTCTAATTCATGTTTCGTAAATATGTTATCCATCAACTTGCGAACTGCTACAAGTGCAAGTACCTACAGCGGAATATGTAAATGTAAAATATCAAGGAATTTTGAAGGATGGATAATGGTGCAACGTTATGTAGCAGCAAGACCACAGAGATTACAAATAATACCACAGGTGGCATTGATGACGAATTTGGGGGACACGGAATTGGGGGAGAATTTAGGTCCAGGACGTAGCTATAGTATAGAAGCTACATTTGTGAACGCGCCTCGCAAACACGAAGGAGCAAAATATGTTTTTTTTTGTCCGCTTTCGAGCTTCGGATTTATAAAAAAACTTATGTAAGTGCATATTTCCTACTTTCGAATTTAAAACATCTGCAACTTGGACATCATTCTAGATTACCAAATGATGACGTCACGGTCACAGTGACTTCAAAAACACCATTCCAACATGTACCTTAACACTAATACATTATATTGAAAGCAAAACAATAAATGCTTACCATGAGAGGAAAGGTGATTCCAGCAGGTGTTTTCTTGATTAACCACAATGCGACCAAACAAAACACTTGAATGCCAGTAAAAATATGAATCCGATGGATACGAACTTTCCTTAGATATACTCGGTCCGGTTGATGTTTTGCAGGCATGAAAAATATCTTTATTCTCTCGAACAACTGAAACCAAAGCAAAAGTCAGTGGCGATAAACTGAGTTATTGTGCGTAGAACTGTCTGTTGTAAAGTGTTACAAACTTGAAACAGGTTTGTAACATTTGACAACAAACTTTGTTTACGCTTACTTATTACTATTGTATTGAAGACCAACACTAAAGAAGAATTTGAGCAATTTCATTGGTCGAGAGTTATGATCTATAAGAGGACATACGCACGGAATTGACGTCACAGAAAATTTCATGTTTATAAAAACAAACAAATGGCGGATATATTTGAAAATTTATCGCAATACCTCCCTGAATGGGAAAATAAAGATATTCACAAAGACCTAGTTGAGGCGTATTTGAGCAAAAAGATAAGAAAAAACCCGGTTTCCAAACATTAAGTTCTACTTCGTGTTCGATAAGAAAATTTCAACGAAATTTATCAGCCATTACTTGTTTATTTTGTTAGCCAATCACATTTTAACACGTGATTAAGCTAGCCAATAGCATTTCTTCAATCCTATATATTACGTAAGCGTGATATTTGCAAAATCAAGACTTTTCAATGTTCCAAATGTTGGGAGACAAAGAAAACAAACTGTTTGACGGTTTAATTTGGGAATTTTTTTTTCATTTTATTATATAAAACAAATAGATAACATTAAACCGTTGTCTTTACAGTTATATATACACGGGTAAGACGTCAATTGTGATAAAAACTCGCCCCGGCGGCTCGTGGCCATTTTTTAGTTTTTATCAAAGTTGACGTCATACCTGTGTATCTATAACTGTTATAGATAACGGTTAAATGTTATTTGTTAATTATACGCTTATATTTCTATATAGCAAAAGAGATAAGCTCTTCAACTTTCCAATGATCTGTTTTTCATTTCATAATAATCAGATACGATCGAGTACTCTTCAAACAAAAATCGTCGTCGAAATTGAATGGTTTCACTACATTTAAAATACGAGCAAATGAAACAGCGGGTTTTTCCCTGTGTTTCCTCACACGTTGAACAATGTTCAATAATTGTATTCGATTCCCGACGAAGGAGAAATGCAATTTCGACTAGCAATTTTTATTAAAGGAGTACTCGATTACTACTGATTATTATGAAATTAAAAACATCTTATTGGAATGGCTTGCCTTTTTTGGTACGTATGCAAAAATACAAGCGCAAAACACAATGTCAAATTCACAAGGGCATATTAAAGTTCGACTCGCTTATTTTTGCAACAAACTGTGATACAGTCATACCTGTACACCTTTCAAGGCCGACACTCCCATGTAAATAAATAATCCATACAACACAGGCATTGGAATATACTATAAAAAGAAATAAACCAAACAAATAGAAATCTTCAACACTTGAGTAATAATTTTCTTAGGCAAATGATCAATTTTGTTCTTTAGATGAGCGCAATATAATAACTCTAACCTTCAATACTTTTCCCAAAAAGACAGTAAAACCAACCAAAATAAAAACAACAGTTCCAGTAACACGCTGCTCCCTAATAAAAACGGACATTTGATAGGTGTATTTTAAATAAAAACGATATTTTATATGAATACTTGGAGAGCATCCCAAAACCACGTCTCTGTAGTTACGACTATTGAGCAGTATTATACAACAGCGTCTACAGCAGTAGTACAGCATCAATCGTGACGATCTTCTTACCTAACTCCTAAAAATTTAGGTCTTTCACCAGGCGCTGTGCAGGTTGATTCTACGAATAAACTTTGAACATGAGCCAACGATAACACAGTAGCAGCGACAACCCAAGGCAGACCAAGAATGGAGCAGATGCCAATGCCTATTGCGACGATCGTAAAATCTAAATGATAGCCACCTCCTTTCTGGAAAAAAACACGCGAGTAAACTTCATAACCGTTCAATGAACTCTTCAAAGAAATATAGAAACAAAATAATGGGATGTGATATGGTATCTAAAGTGTGATCAATTCTGAGCATTCTATGAAAACGCCGAGTGGCTCACGGAGTCACGTAAAATAACAAAAAACAAGAAAATCATCAACTCAGTGTAACAAGGGCTAAACGTAAGATGTATTTAGAAGAGTATAGTGCAGTAGTATAGTTTATTTAAATAGTGTAGTAGAGTTAGCATAGTAGCTACATAGTATAGCTTAGGTAGTATAGTTAAAACAGCGAGAGCATATATTCAATTTTTTACCAAATTCGGTTGGACAAGCTTAAATATCTCCTTTTCAGTACTTTAAACAATTAAGAAGCAGGTTTAAGAGTTTAAGCCTTATCAGACGAAATGTAGTAAAAAATTGCATGCAAGTATGGTCACACTTAGCAAGTATAATACGTACAATAGCAAGAACAGTTTTAGTTGTATAATAGTGTTGTTGAAAGTTAGTATAATTGTATGGTGTTGTTAGTATAATATAGACATTAAACTTTGGATAATCCTTCATGGAGCCAGCACATGCCTATTAGGAAGACGTACCTTTAGCTTATGTTCTCTCTTGTTGACAATAACTGCAGTAATCTGTTGATCCATAAATACCAATATGGTCGTAAGTAACGCCGGGATAGATGCAGCGATGATTGTCCACCAGGGATTCTTACCAAGTGGATGTATAAGCCAACCGCGTTTTGCAGCATTAGTTGGCTGAAAGTCGTGGGGAATGTTCAGTTTGGGGGTACCAACATGAAGTGCTGCGTCCACTCCAACCATGATCATTACAGATATTATGACGGCAAAATCAGAAACAACTTTACGCACCTGAAAACATAATGAGGTAGGTGTTCAGAGAGAGTCCATTATGCATGCGAATGCTTTGGAAATCATCCGGTTGCTTATTTGCTCTCTCTTCATATTGAATAGTGAGGGTTAACCATCATGCATTGCGCGCGTATTCAGCAATTTTTAAAGTAAGAGTATTTGATTCATCGTAATCGCTCGTGATTTAATCCACTGTAATCCATTGTTTTCTTTGGTAACAAATGTGAATGTACAATTATTTGTCATGCCAAAGTGTGAATGTACAATTCCATTCAAGTGAACGTGAAATATAATGAAAAATTTTAAAATAAACAAACGCGTGCAATTTGTGATGATTCACACCTACTACGTATTCAATGGCAATCATATAATTAGGCTCATTTCAAACGTCGCATTTTACATGAGCCAGTACATTTGAAACAAAAGATAATTTTATCTCATTTTCTTTTGTCTTAATTGCATTCGGTGCATGTTAAATGCGACGTTTGAAACGGGTCTTAGAAATTAACCTATAATATATAAAATACAAAAGCAGAAGAAATTATCAGGACTCTACTGCACCTTGGTCGGAAAAAAACTTGAAGTCTTAAAACTCTTCAATTTGATGACCAAGAAAAATGTTCCAAGTGTTAATATCGCCGAGAGAAGAAACACAGCGCCACCACAACCGTTGCCATGAAGTGTTTCATCACCATCAAGATCACAGTCAAAAATAGACTTGTTGGACGACACATAAGTCATTTTCAATGTACCATTTGTACCGTTAACATTATTCATTATCATGCATTCACAAGACTGCTCGTGGTCGTTGTCGTTCGGGATCGGCCATTCATTTAGCAAAATGAAAAGCTTGCGACCTCCCTCATAAATAAAAATCAAGCCAATGAGTGTGGCAAATGATTCCTCCGTAAAACGAGTGAAATATCGCACGAGTGCGCTTGCATCAGTTACGACAAGTACCAAGCAAAAGAAGCATGTCCAAAGGCCAATCCACATGCGAAATGGCATATAGTCAAGTTGGGTTTTATCGCAGAATTTAAAAAGAATTTCTTCGAAGACCAGCATGGGACCAGTTGCACCAAGGATCGTCAACGGTTGACCAGAAAATAATGAGAAGAGAACACCACCAATGGCCGCCGCTAACAGTTGTTCCATCGCTCCCTAAAGTAAACATAACATACATGGATTTTCAATTCTTGAGGGTAAATATTTAAGAAGATATAGATTGCATGGTTGCAAATACATATTGCCACAGACCTGCCCGCAGTACAGAAAACAGGCTGTGCCAGAAACAGGGCCTGCAAACGGGTAGTATAGAGGTCACGCGGGCGCAGTAAACCAATGGAATTGTAATTGAAAAATTTCAATTGATTAGTTGTAATGCATCCTTTGTCGATCAATTGATGTAAAAAACTTTTTTACAACATTCACAAAAAAAGAAGATCAAAACCAATGAATCTTTCAGGGTTGAGCACTTTCGCCACAGTCCCCAATTTTTACAATATTTTTCATAATTTACCTGAATAGTGTGTGACTATAACGTTGGGTTAAACATTTCACAATAAACGGCGTGGTAAAGAACTTTAAATAATGATTGATCGTGTTTTCTTACCATGTACTGCTCCGTCTTGATTTCCATGACACCACCAAATGTGACAATGGGAGCGAGGCAAGCAAAGTAAATGAACAAAATACTCGCTAAACACTGACTATTTAAGGCGTCAAGAAAATCCGACTTGTACCATTTCTTCTTTCTCTTGATGTCCACGACTAATCCACCGCCAAACCTAAATGAAATATACACAAAATGCTATTATAAAGTTATAACTGATTGAATCGTTTGAAAAATGTCTTGGAAGGCAAAATGGTTTGAGTTAAATAAGAAAATAAACAGAATAACTTCTCGAGGATTCATTTTCATAAATAACAAAAACCCATAAGTTACTACGCTAGAAGAACTATTTACGAAGAAAGTAGACTTAAAAACACAGTAAAGGATTTATGTGACAAGCCTAAATATCCAAAACTTAACTGTATTAAAAACACCGGATAATAACACAACATATAATCTACCAATCAAATTTAATAAAAAATTTATTAATCTGAAAACCAATGTATTACATCAGACCAAATAATGTTAGCATAACAATGGGTAAAACAGTTCTGTCCACTAATTATCAAACTAAACTACATCAACAAAATGAGGAAGACGTTACCTTCCGGTTTTAAAAAGCTCTTCACCGCCATGACCTTCACCGTCATCGCCTCCGCCATTATTCCCATGAGATCCAATGCCGTTTTCCTTACCATTCTTATCACTATCACACAAGTACTGCTGTACTCGACGATTTTCTTGCGAGGGCACGCTGGCGGGTGGCTCAATACGAATGGATGGGTCCCATTCCCCAGGAGGAAGAACTGTAACCTGCAAAAAGTTATTACACCGCAATTAACACTAAACGTATTAAATACAATTATAAATAACCTTTTAAAAACACGAGCGCTGAGTGGTCGAATGCTCGAAAAAACGTTTAACTCAACAATGCACGTGACTTCAGTCTCGCAATAATCCCGCACGTTGCGTGGTTTGTGCGCGAAATTTTAATGGCGAAAATATAAACAACGTGCCACTAAAATCAATAAATATATTTTTTAAACTTTGTTTTTAAAAGGCTATTTCAAAAACGAAATAGAAAACATATTTACTTGTTTCTATTGAGTTACGATAACACTTGTGAAAGATTGGGAGGAACTACATAGAAATTGCTTATAAACACCCGCACTTCCCGATCGCCACGAAATTTTTCGTTTATCCCAAACTTGCCCAGGTTCAATACGTACGTAAATATTACCACGACCATTGAATAAGTAAGTAGTCACACGGCTAAAGCTGGCAAAGCACTAATTCTGCTAAACACTTTCATCAACACGGAAAACTACATTTTCTGTCTCGTGATTGTAAACAGCTGCGCTGTTGTTCTTGAGCTGTGTTTGCATTAGCCTGTGCAAGGCACATCCGAGCTCAACCAATCAAATCAAACATAACAATCAATCAGTCAAAGAGAATTTGCAAATCAATCATGAATACATTTTAGAGTGAAAATTAAAACGTTTACTTAATATTTGTCTGTTTCGCATTATTATTATTTTATAAAAGAAATAAAAGATGTTTTTCGTGTTTGCACTGGCTTATGCAAGCCTCGGAGACGTTTGTGAGGACTCTCCCGCAACTGCAACCCTCGAACTTCGGTCTCTGGTTTGCACTGATCTGCTCTCGAGTTCTCCAAAAGGTCTCCTCGGTTTGTATAAGCATGTGCAAACACAGTAAACATCTTTTATTTCTTAAATGAAAACGGAGTTGTATACGTAATTTATGCTGGGAAAATTAAAAAGAGAATTTAAGAGCCGCAAACGGCAACAGAAAGCAAACAAATATTTTAAACAGATTAAATAAATCTAATATAGAACTTAGACTAACCACACAATGATTCAAAGATAGTTCTACAACAAGCATTAAAATCAAGGGCGCGTTTAGATGTTGACACATTTAGGACATGCTTAGAATAAAGGTGGCTGAAAACTAGATGCTCAGAAGGCATTAACTCGTCTCATTGCCACTTGATCCCACATGCACGAAAATGTAATAAACAAAACAATGGCTGAACGCAATCAGCATCAAAGTATGGGATGCAAACAAAGTCAAAGTGTATTTCCATGAAGTTTCGAAGTTCCAACAAACTTACAGTCTTTACCTGTTGTAAAAATTCATCAATACCAGCTGCAATATCTTCACGGCAAGCGGCTTTATAAGCAACATCCTTAAATACCTAATGAAAACCGTAAAATAAGAACAAGACATAAACCCACAGGACGGACAAACATATTCCAAACAGAACAATTGTTTTGACTCGACATTTACAAAACATCAATGTCTTTCAACAAAAGTTTTTCATTTTTGCGTTTTTTTTTACAAATTTAATCTTGAATTCACAAGATGAATTTGTTTGGACTACTTTCCATTACAAATACGTACATTACAAATAAAAAAGGCACTAAAATGAAGAAAAATAATGCAAAAATTACAGGCTCTAAAAACGGGAAGAATTATCAGTACGCATGCGCATAAAGAAAACTACGAAATGCAAATGTCATTCTCCACTTCTACTTGATCCCATGGAAGATAAATCACTAGCTAAAAATCTCGCCATTAGGAATTCTATGTACCACCCCCCCCGGCCCCATAGTTCCATTCGAAGATCATTGCTCATCATTATGCTTCATAACTACGTAGGGAGGTTTAAAACATAGAAAACTAAGATCGACCCATACATTACCTCATCAGACATAAGCGTTGCAATAGCTCGACCTACTTCATGATACCTTCCAGGCTGCCCAGAAGGTCCCAGCATAAAGAAAATGAAACGTATAGGTAAAGGCACTTCCAAGAGATCACCAAGAAGTTGAGCATCTTCTAAACGAACAAATGCGTTGATTGGCTTCGAAAGGAAATCAGCTTCACCAACCAACACTATAGAGCCCTCGGCTCCTGATGGAATTTTCTTCATAAAGTTAGTGTCGTACTAATGTGGTAAAAAAGGAATGTAGGTTCATGTCTAGACTCATCAAAACTCACTCTGCATCATAGCTACGTACATGCACTTCAACAGTATAAAATAAAACATAAGCTAATTAAAATTCTTGATACTGCTACGTACACGTTTCTATAACTAGCATAATGAAAAGCTACAAGCCAAGATAGTGAAAACTGAACACAAACCTTAGCCAACTCGGGATCGTTCGTAACATCTTCGGCAGCAAATTCTTGCGCAATTAAAAAAGAGGCAGTTGGCACGTGGGGAAACTTGATATACTCCAGGTCTTCAACAGGTGTCTCCACTTCGGTCTTTCCACCATGTTGGTTCTTGTCGTCTTGTAATAAAACACATTTTACCAACTCATGCGCATTAACGTATATTTTATTTCCAGACTGAGTTTCCTCACCTTTGTCGCCATGACCTTTCTTCGATCCACGTAACGAAGATTTCTTTTTCTGTGTGCTTTTTCTTCTTTCATGCAAATGTCTGTGCTTCTTTAATAAAAGATCGCGAACACGTAGTTTAAGACCAAAATCTAACTGCTTCGAGGCAACCATATCATCAACGATAATATCTATGGAGAAAACGACAAAAAGGGTTATTTAACTGCAAGTTCAACTGGATGTGAAATAAACTGAACAGTAAGAAAAACTTTGCAAAAGCGATCACGGATCAGAGCGCTTATGACTCTGCTGAAAAACAAGTGGAAGACATATAGGGTTAAAATATGACACATGTTGTTTAAGCTAAAAAAGTTTCGCGAAATTTGGCTAAAGTGTACGTGAACGACAGGCATCCAAATCATGAATTATTTGTGGATTTTCTTTTCTAAATTTCATTTTTTTTTCAAACCTTCATCAGTTTGCATTAATTTAACTTCAGATTTATGTACGCATAATCGATGAAAACATAAAAAATGGCCTTTAAAAACCAAAATTCAAAATAACCTGAAATTTAAAAGCTAATCATACGTGTATAAGTCGAAATTCATAAAACTTTGTTAGATTCAACAAAACATCTGCCGTATTTTAATCCAATGTGTTGCAATTGCTTTTCAACTGCGCCAATTAAGTGCGCAAACAATTTCAAAAGTGCTTCTAGGTAACAAAATTTTTAATCAGAAAATATTTTTTTCCACAACTTTTGCAATGATAACTTTCGTGACGTTTTTCTAGCTCATAGTTTTTCTCGATACACCTTGTACCTTTGCTTGAAAAGGGAAGAAAAGGATTAGGCTCAGTAATTGGTAACGTCGTTGTTTTTAATGCCAAAGATTTGGTAAAAAAATGACGTTTATGGGAACTGCCCGTGATGCATTACCTCAGTGTGGATGAACAAACCATAATCGTGGAATACGTAAGTAAAATAAGGATTCATTTGATAATATACAGTATTATTATATGGCAAGCGTCACTTCCAGCTAAATGGCGCGCTTTGATTGGCTCAGAAACATTTTTGCCGGTCCATTATTTTCCCGTAATCGACCACGGTCCAAAACGCGTAATTTTACAGTCAAATGTAAACAGCAAAACGCAAAAAAAACGAAACAAAAAACCATTTACGAATGTGAGTCGAAGGAAAAACACTTGGAAAACAGTTAAACTATCATGAAGATACAATTTGAAACGATTATTTTTTACTGACGAAAACTAGAAAAGTGAAAGCCAACCCGTACAAAACAGCAAAGACAAGAAAGAAAGCAAGCTTCATTTCAGGTCAAATAATGCCATAAAATAATCCTTTTAATAATCTCGCTTTCTCGATCTTTACTTAGAAATATCAAACCTCTGTCTTTTTGTACAATCCTCGCCCTACGGGCTCGGTCTGCACAAAAACACCTCGGTCCGTTATTTTTCCGTAAAGACCTCCACCTCGGTTATTAAGGGCTTAATATACTATTCGTGAACCTTAAGGGGTTTAAAAATCGTTTTAAAAAGAGCAAATACCATGGTGAATAGTCAAAATAATAACGTAATAGTTCTTAAATAAACTATTTAGAACCAGAACACTAACCTAACTAAGGGGATGCTCATATGAGCCCGGTTAACCCGAATTCAGTGAGGCGTTGAATGCATTCGTCGCATTTAAAGTGGGCAAAACTTCAAGTTTAAAAATTACAACTGTTTGTTAAGCGCCACAAATTATTCCTGTTGAAATTCTCAAATTACACCAAACCAGCTGTTTCACTTTTAAATGTTTTGCGTAAATATTAAATCAGAATATTGTAAAATTGCTCAAGAAGATATATCTCATGATAAGTATAGAATCATTTCCATTTGCCAAAATCATTTAACGCGTCATTAAATGACGGTTAGCCGGGCTCGTACGAACAGCCCCTGTTGAACACTAGGGTCATTCCATGTGAAATCAACAAATGCATGTCACCCACCCATCCCAGATTTTAACCAAAATTGCACCAATTGGAGGTATAAGTGAGATATGAAATCACACCAAATTTGAGCTCAATATCTCTTTTTGTTCCTGAGATATCGGTTTTTCAATTTTCCACCAATATCGGTGTCGGTTATAGCATTCTTTATAAGTGCTACACAAAAATGTATGGTATTTCAACTGTCGTTTCCTATCCTTTAACTCTATAGACAAGAAAACTGGTGATATACCATTTTAAGACATGCTGAATCAGAATATGAGGTCAAAAATATCATTACTTGAAAAGAGATGCATATTTTCTATGTTAAACAATGGTATATATATATCCCGAAACCATAAAAAGGATCAAATTACAAACCAAAAATTACCCATGTTGGCAATGTAGGACCAAACCCATTTTTGGTGTGGTATATGAATATATAATGAGGATTAATTTCACCAAGTTTTGGCTTGGTGTCTCTTCTACTTACTGAGAAATTCGCCAAAAAGATAGTGTTGAAATTTCCTGAAAATTCTGCTGGAATATGGCAAAAAATCTGTTTTTTTGTAACATTTCAGTGGTTTTTCTTTTAATCTCTGCATGCTTGTACACAATAACTTTCATACATGAAGTATATCGCATAATATAAAACAAATTCCGAAGAAACAAGACATCTTGAGATTGCAAAATATAAATCAAAACAAGACCAGAAGTAAACTGTAAATTTTCGACTTTAATTTAAAGTCATCCTCAGTCTGTCTGTTTTATATTATACTTCTTTAAATTGTCGTCTGGTCATGGTTTTAAGTATATCGCAATTAAATACAAATCACTGACACAAGTGTTCGAAGTTTCACAATCCAAAACTTTATTACACGTGTTTTACTCGTTTGCTGCTCTACAATCACTATTTAGTGTAGCGACGAATCAAACTGAGTCATAGTTGTTGTGCGTCAACGAATATACGATGTGAGTAAGCACAACAACGCGCTACAAGCTAACCACACAAGCCCGACCACAAAGCATGAAAGCACTATAACGCGCTTAGAAGGAACTAAGTCATCCCACTATTACGTGCAGGATATGACGGAGAACACTCCCTTTAGTTACTATATAAATGCACGACAAAATATAGAATAGGAGACAAGAGATGAATAGAGCATAGCGTTCATTCAGTGTAAACTCGTATGATTAAATATAGTGCAATAATAATAACGATACGTGGCAAGTGTATGATTTCATGGCGCAAGTGCATATACCGAGGGACATGCTGATCCAAATCTAACCGTTCTACGGCCCAACGTTACATTAGTTTACTCTCAAGTCTCTATTTTCTCTTACAATAAAGAATGTCTTCAACAGAAAAGTTGAAGAAGTGTTCTATCGGAAATCACCTTGAAGAAGAGTGTCACTTAGCTGTTCATACCCGGTCAACTGACCTAAGATCGTTCAGTGATCTAACAGCAGAGCAGGTTAAATTGATATCAATGAGAACAGGAATTTCAACCAGCCCTGATCGTGAAATTTGTCTCCATCATGAGCAGTTAATTCTTAAAAGATATTCATCCCATCAAAGAAGCTGCTGCAACCCATTTAATAAGCACCAAAAACCAGTCAAAGGTTCACTGCGGGAGGTGTCTCTGAACATTGCTGAGGATTTTAATAGCATCAACATATCTGTCATTCCTGGGAAGAAGATCTGCCCAACTTGTCGCAAGGAACTTACTAGAAAATTGGAGGCTGCAACAAATAAGATGGATGAGCTCTGTCCAGTTGAACCAGATTCACAGACAGATAGCGAAAGTGATAAAGAAACCATGTCCTGTAGATACAGAGAAGAAATGACTGTCAGCAGACATGAGCTTGACACAAGTTTTAAAGAGGTGGATTTGAGCCCAATAAAGTTACATGGCGTTCCTTCTCATTCCAAAGTTACTTTGGGTAAACGAAAACTCCAACAGTTTCGAGATAAACTTAAAGAACAAGAATCTACTGCTCAAAACTAGTTGCAAAAGTAATTGGTGTTAGTTCTGAAAATCTAGACCCATCAGAAAGCAGCCAACCTGACAATTACGATCAACTGAAGGAAAAAGCAGACAACTTAGATTGTCTTGTCGATCTAATGAAAAGCAAAATGCAGTCTTGTAACCGACAACAGAAAGTCCAAATACTAACCATTGCACCACCTTCGTGGTCGATTGAAAAAACGAAAAATGAATTTAATGTTTCTGCTTATATGGTCAGGCAATCAAGGAAATTGGTAAAAGAAAAGGGCATTCTGGAGTTACCAGGGCCAAAGAAAGGAAAAGGTTTATCAGAAGAAACAAAAAGATGTGTTGCTGATTTCTACTGTGATGATGAATACAGTAGACTTATGCCGGGTAAAAAGGATTGTGTCAGTATTGCAAGGAATGTCCACAAGCAGAAACGCCTTCTCCTTTGTGACTTGAAAGAATTATATGCTGCATTCAAAGAGAAGTATCCAGATATAAAAGTAGGATTTTCGAAGTTTTGTAGTTTGAGGCCAAAATGGTGTGTTTTGGTTGGTTGTTCAGGAACTCATTCGTTTGTGTGTGCACAATTCACCAAAATGTTGTTCTGATGCTGAGCGCTGTGAATTTTGACAAGGATCACCATGAGCTCATGAACATGATAGTATGCTGCAGAGATTCTAAGCAGTGTATGATTCACCGTTGTCCCAACTGCCCGCCTGACACTCAAGATTTGGAGAACTACCTTTTAGAGCAGCTTCAACCTGAAATTGATGATGAGAATGACCCATGCACCATACAGTTTCAACAGTGGACAAATGTCGATCGCTCGGAGCTGGTCCAGCAGATCATGCCAGTTGAGGATTTTATCTCCCTCCTTGTTGAGAAACTTAACACCCTCACAGCCCATTCCTACATTGCTAAAGCACAGGCAAAATATCTTAAAAAATGTAAGGAAGAACTAAAAAAAAACGAGGTAATTGTTTTGGGAGATTTTGCTGAGAATTACCAATTCGTAATTCAAGATGAAATTCAAGGATTTCATTGGAACAAGCAGTCGTGCACCCTCCATCCAATTGTGTTGTATTACATAAAAGACAATAAACTTATGGAGAAATCTCTTTGTTTCATCTCAGATGACTTGAATCATGATACATGCTTTGTTTATGAAGTCATGAAACAAACTGTTCATTATATTAAGGATGAGATTTTCACAACACTGAGTATGGTGCATTATTTCAGCGATGGCTGTGCAGGACAATATAAGAACTATAAGAACTTTATCAACTTGTGCCTTCACGAAAAGGACTTCAATGTGAAATGTGAATGGTCATTCTTCGCTACAAGCCATGGCAAATCTCCGTGCGATGGCATTGGAGGTACGTTGAAACGATTGACAGCAAGAGCCAGTCTACAAAGAACTCACTCGCATCCCATTCTGACAGCAAAACAAGTTTTCGAGTACTGTAATGAAGAAGTCAAAGGTGTTCATGTTATCTTTATTTCAGCAGAGGAGATGGTTCCTATCAGGAGCATGTTGGAGACAAGGTATAGCACTGCAACTACTCTTCCTGGCACAAGAGGCATTCATCACTTTACTCCCCTCTCTGAAAGTGTTATGGCTGCTAAACGTGTTTCGGAAGATGAATTGTATGCCTTAGAGTTTAATCTAGTGGTGGGGAAGACAAACTTAGTGAAGCTGGCAGATCCAAACATGTCTGACTTTATTGTTTGCTCGTATGATGAGAAACTTTGGGTTGGACTTGTTGATGTAGTAGATAAGGAAAATGATGATGTTCAAGTCAAGTTTATGCATCCAAGCTACCCAGCAAGATCCTTCTCCTGGCCAAGGAAAGATGATGTATGTTTTGTACCAATTATGAATGTGGTGTGCATCATTGAGGCACCAGTAACAGTAACAGGAAGACAATACAAGTTGAGTGACAAAGACATATCCACAATTGAACAAGCACTTGCTGAATAACTCAGATAGCATGTAACATAACTTGAAAAGTACAGTACAGTACTGAACAATATATTAACATTATTGAACATCAAATAACAACTTCTAAAGGTGATGATTGCAAATGCTGGATATGACAGTTCCATAAAATTAAGAATTTACATAGGATCTCAACCATAAATTTGTTGGCATATTTTTCAGCAAGTAGAAGAGACACCAAGCCAAAACTTGGTGAAATTAATCCTCATTATATATTCATATACCACACCAAAAAATGGGTTTGGTCCTACATTGCCAACATGGGTAATTTTTGGTTTGTAATTTGATCCTTTTTATGGTTTCGGGATATATATATACCATTGTTTAACATAGAAAATATGCATTTCTTTTCAAGTAATGATATTTTTGACCTCATATTCTGATTCAGCATGTCTTAAAATGGTATATCACCAGTTTTCTTGTCTATAGAGTTAAAGGATAGGAAACGACAGTTGAAATACCATACATTTTTGTGTACCACTTATAAAGAATGCTATAACCGACACCGACATTGGTGGAAAATTGAAAAACCGATATCTCAGGAACAAATAAAGATATTGAGCTCAAATTTGGTGTGATTTCATATCTCACTTATACCTCCAATTGGTGCAATTTTGGTTAAAATCTGGGATGGGTGGGTGACATTTTGAATTTCTATTTGTTGATTTCACATGGAATGACCCACTAAGGATTTAATAATTTTTATAAAATTTATTTAGAATTGTTAGATTAGTGTTCTGGTTTTAAACAGTTCTCTTAAGAACTATTACGTTACTATTTTGACCATTCACCATGGTATTTACTCTTTTTAAAATAAGTTTTAAATATGCTACCATGACAAGTCTCTATTTGACTACTTAAGGAGTTTGTAAGCAACAATTTTCATACAAAAAACAAACCACCATCTATATGGAAGTGGCAAATAATAAAACACTTTATGTTTCAGGCATTTCAGGTAAAAATAAAGTACATCAAAACATGTTCTCACCAAAAGTTATAAAAAGCAAAGTTGAAAAGATTCCAACAGTGTTGTCGGTATAAAAATCAATTCGCAATCTAAGTCCACATCGAATAGATAAACTTTACCTGCAATCTGTGTGAGAAGGCTAGCATTCAAATCAAGAAGAACAGTTCCATTGAGTACACAGCTGCGCAGTTCAAACAAACTGTACAATGAAAGTGTTGCCACATGCGGTTTACTCCATCGATCACCACCTTCCTCAACATCTTCTTCAAATTTCAGCCATCTTGCCATTTGCTTCCACTCTGCATTTTCACTTTCTTCACCATTTAATTCATGCAATTCAGAGAATATTTCATGTTCAACGTCATTTTCCTCTCCACCAAGGATGAAACGTACCCTTTCCGCTGGCGGTTGATGACCTGACAAAAGTTGGATTTAAAGGTCATTGAGCATAAAAATAAAAAAACAAATACACTCAGTCCCAAAGAGCTAAATAAATATTTTTTGAACTGCTCTTGTGAAATCACTCAAGTTAAACCTGATGCCATTGTCAAAACATGGTGAGAATCTCATTTATTACAACATGTGCATGTAACTCTATCTGAATTTATGTTCCGGTAGAAATTAATACTGCAAAGATAAATTATACATACCATGGTGTAACTGAATGTATAATTGCATGAGTACAGCTTTTTTACTAAACACTGAATTGCATCAACAATGAACCTGCTTTTTATTCTTTTAACAAATTAAGTGACAAATAAACACTTCCCTCATTGCAGCATATTACAAGTAAAAATAAAGTTCAATCAAGACAATATGAAACTTTTCTGGATACAGGTATAACAAAAGTTCATCTAATGGAATAAAAACTATCTTTTGCATAAAAATATGTAATCTTTCTAATGTCCTCACTCTTTTGTTTGTATTTGAAGTCAAAGTGTAGCAGTTTCTCTTTCTTTAAATATAATTTCAAATTTATTATTATTTGGAGCTACTGAGCTACTGCTTTGCTGTGTTGTTCAATAATTTCTTTATGCTCTCATATAAATAACACTGTCCAAGGGTGTGAATATTAACAGTGAGCAAGTGCGCAAATTACAGTGTGCAATGTGCCATTTGTGCATTGTTTAGGCCAAGACATAAAATAATGTTTCTCAATGTAGATCATCCAGGTTGGTATAGTCCTGAGAATGACTGTTTTTGTTGTTGTTGACTGACGTTTCGACAACCTTAGTGGTAGTCATCTCCAGAGTCCAATGAGGAGTAACTGTCATGTTAGCCTTATTTGTTATCTGGTTCTTACGTCATAGTATTGTGTGTAATCCCTGCTTGTATCACTCAACTGCTGGGTTATTTGACAATCTGAATTGTGAATGTTCAACCAGCGCTGCAAGAATTTTGGTCTCGTTCTCGCAGGACTTAGAATTAAGTCCCCGTTGAACACACAAAATGCCAAAATTATATGCTGCTTTAGCTATGATGATATGATTAATTTAAATCACAAAAACAAGCAAAATTTTATAGCTGAGCAATTTCACAATCAACATTTTTGAAAATTTAGCCCAAACCTTTGGATTGCTCACAAAAGACAGAGTTTTACATTCTTACATTTACATAAACTTAATGAATATGGTGCATAAATAATCATTAGATATAAAAAAAAATGAAGGATATGCTCCAATGCATAAATACAATGGACTGCAAAATGGGACATTCATGTATACTTGATACAATTTAATAAAATTCTATCTCAACAGTACAATTTGCATAGAATATTGAACACCTAGCTGGAATACAAATCACAAGAAAACTGGTTAAAATTTTTATTTTCCACAAATCGATTTTATTAAAAACAAAGAAAGAAAGAAATTACATGAAGAGAAGAAAGATCAGTTAGATCACATTAGAAAGAAAGTTTGGCTCCGCAAGAAAGCAAAATCTATCGCCTCAGAAGAGCAAGAAAATTCACACTTTTTAATTTTCTGGCAAATATAAAGCAATGAACAATCTCTTCTACATTGGGTCAACAATCACACTGAATGACAAGGTCGTCACAGTTCATAACATTACAAGGCTATTTAATTATGGCATGTTCAGACTAAATAATACTAAACAACTTTGTGAATATCAATATAGACCGAAATCTGCACAATATACGTACACATGCAATGATAAAAAAACATAAAAAAATGTTTAGGAAGCTTTAATGTTTGGATTCTCCGTATTAACAGTGCTCGATTAGTGTGCGCTGAGCGTAAACAAAGAGGTAGTATAAAAAATCACAATAACTACGATTTCATCCCGACAAGCCTGTTTTGTGATTGCTCACTCTTCGGGGGATTAAATTGTAGTTTTGGTGATTTTTTCGCTACCTCCAGAGAAAAAATGTTTATATATGTAATTATATCCCTTACCAGCAGTTCCATTTGGGGTTTTCGTCTTAGGATTGCTTTGACGTCCCGGTTTGTTCTTGCTTGTTGATGGATAACGATGACTTCGACGATGGTGACTTCTATGGGCCCGAGAAGGCTTTATTGGTATATGAACTCCAACATAAACTTGTCGATGATCTAAATATACAAATATTATCACAATTTGAACCAATTCCAACTTCACGAAGAAACAATACCGAAGAAAGGCAATTACAACTTTTACGATATTCGCTCGCGCACAAAAGCACTGCAACTATGGCTTGGTAGTTAGTTCGTGAATCTCGTCCTACCGTTTACATCGGTTGCCTGAAGATCGGCGTGAAACTCCGAGTAGCGACAGCAAACAATTGTCCATTTTATTTTAGTTCATTTTATATATATATATATACTTGTGACTAGTATGTAGTCGTATGTTACACGTATGTACTCGTATGTCAGTCGTATGTACTCGTATGTCAGTCGTATGTACTACTATGTACTCCTATGTACTCGTATGTACTCGTGTGGTGTTTTAGTCACGATCGGTGAATCTCGTTCTACCGTTTATATCAATATCATCTATTCCTTGACATTTAAAGTCACTATGATATAGGTCGGCCTGCATGAACGTTCTGTTATGAAAAAATTCTATTGTAACAGTTTACATTGTAGATGGCGAAAGTCAAAACAGTGCTTGACGCTACACACGTTTACAATAAAACATGATAGGAACTACTCTTCACGAGAGTATCACCGGATATTGCGTATTTTTTGTCAAACAATTCATTGGTTCCCATTGGTTCCCATACACTAGCGAATGGAAGTGAGCAGTCGCACTTTATTATAATTAACATTGTTCCAAAGCTAAATAACATTGACATTGCAAAAATTGCAATTTACTACAGTCAATTTCAAAATAATCTAAGCTTAGAATTTTATGATAGGCAATTGTTTTTTTTAAATGTCGGACATTCTGCGAGACTATGATTAATGTTAGGTGAACATTCCCAAACGCTCACAAGCTTCGACATAAAATATTTGTCGCAGCAAATGAAAATCGCTGTAAGGTTCTAAGCCACCACGGGGATTATTTTCACAATCACCAGGAACTAATTACACTTGAACAACCTTCACGCATGGCAAAACGATTTAGCTAATAAAATAATCACGAACAAAATAGCTCATTAATGACGGATGTGACGAAACGCACGTCATCGTGCGCCCGTTGAACACGCAGCTCTGTCATTGAAAGATGACAGAGCTGCATAAGAAAGACGCATTTAGAAATTGTCGTATTGTAATAATTTCAACGCCAATCACTATGATCTGCCCACGCATGCATAAATTGTTGTCAGCTACCGTGCATGTATTGCATAAATTGTAGCAAGCACAAACGATTTGCAAATTTAACACACCTTCTGATCGTGTGTACGTTTTTTCAGTATCCATGCAGTTGCGTTTACGTTTGATGTGCAAGCTACGTCATGACCGCCATTTTGAATTGTTTCAATAAAAGAATTTCCTTATTTACACTGCAAATAAACTCCAACATGGCAAACACTCCATTGTTCTCTCACTCCCAGAGAAATGGTGCACACCTCCTACAGGTATTTGGGGCTAGATTGTTGCTGAATAATGTAAATTCTAAGGGTTGTCTAATTTCTAAGATAACAGTTTTCTTTTGAAGCAACAAAAAGTATGCAAACTCCGATAGATTGTACGCAATAAACAACTCCCTCCTTCTCCCTAAGCCAACAATCAATTCCTATCCCATATCTATAGGATTTAGCTTTCTATCCGAAATCTATAGGATCTAGCTTCCTAACGCAAATCTGCGCAAGCCCCCTTTCAACTAACGCATTTGTCTTCTTTGTTTCGCCTAAAGAATGTTACCAAACCTATCAGGGAAGCTAATATCTTGGACCAAGCATTTTTATTACCGCCATTTTTTTAATCTAAAATTTTCCCATTAGTAACATAATAGTTATCAGTTCATTCTAGTGTTGTTCAAGACTTCAACAAATCATTGGGGATAGCAAGCTTGGGGGAACGGAAACTCACAAAAATACAAACCACAAAATACATAGACATATCAACCCATGAAGCCAGTGCTACGTTTTTTGTTTGCTCCTGTGTCTATGTGCTCCGTCATTAATTCCTGATAGAGAAGGTCGGGTTCTTAAACTATCACGTGTTGTTATTAAGTGTTAATGAGGTATGTCTTGGAAATAATCTTCAGCTGCGGTCTGTCAACTTTGACAGTAGACCTATTTCTTTGACACCTGAGCAAAGAAACATCCTAGAAAAGGGTGGTTTTGTAAATGGGATGCATGGGTGTTATAAAATCCATTACTAGCCGATATTTTTTGAAGTATAACGAGAAACAAACACCGCAGAAAAAGTCCATTGTATGTGGGTAGTGACATCATTCGATAACCGAGTAAAAACATTAAAAAATTTATGCCGTGGAAAGGTTGTCCTAAGGTTATCTTTATCTTATTAGAGTGCAGTGACTATACAGTGAATCCAATAAATTGCCAGTTCGTGCCATGTATATCTTATTACGCACGTAATAACCATGATTTCGCACTGGAATTTTTTATTAAATATGCTAAAAATTTTAACCACAAACCTCTAACACAAGCATAAAATCATTATATTTTCAGGAACTCCAAATGTTTTAGTTTGAAGAAACAAGGTTCATGTGAGATGACACATTGAAACATGAGGATATTTTGGCACTTAAAATGTTGAATCAAAAAAGGGAGGGATGGGGGCATAGTATCCAGATGGTTTATTTCATGCCAAGATTAAAGGCAACTAGCTCTTGCTAGTAATAAATCCGAGGATAAATTCATGGAATATTAACAGTGAATAAGTGTGCATGATATTTGAGCATGACAATAAATATAATACTGATATATAATTTGCATAGAAAACTGTTTTCATTCTCAGTGACACAAAAAAATTTTCAATACAGTCAGGGTAGGTACAGTACAGTGTTTAATTGTTCAACCTGAAACGTTTTTCCTTACTACTAAAGTTCTACATGTTTGGACAAAGCAATTAATATTGTGTTGTAATAAATGGGCAGAAGCTGAACAAACACAATATATAACACAGTATGCGCAGCAATCTATATGTAAATCAAGCGGCAAACTGTACAATTACAGACAGGCAGGCCAATAGCTTAACACTTAAAGACACTTCATTGCATGGTTTTGACATATAAAGATTGCGAGCCATTCGCAATTCACAGTACTCCAATATACATTTTGATAATGCGATTCCCTTAATTACGAAATCTGTTTAATTTATTACTACAGCGTGTGATTTCGACCGACAGTAAACAGCAAGACATGAATTCAGATAAAAACAGAAATTCATCGTACGTCGTAGAAGGCAAACCAAGATTTTATCAAATAAGCATACTCGATAGAGTACAAGACATCAAAAATTCAAAATGACAAACTCCAATGGCCAATTGTTTGAAATTTTCTAGATACAAAATACATTTCCCAATTTGGAGTTTTTCATTCAAGTTATTTCTCTCGTTTTCGGAAATCGTTTAAAGTTTAAAAAAGCCGGGACGTCAATATTATCCTACCATTACATCACAAGCGTAACGACCGAGGCATTCAAATACAAATTCATTACCTTTTATTTCAGTCTCGTCAACAGTAAAAGAAAATTGTGCAATTGGATCAGGTGTATTATGTTCATCGTGCAATCGTTGAAGAAGCGAGCTCGTCCGGGGCTAACAGCATACAAACAAAGTCAAACACAATAAATACATGTTGCAATCCTCTAGTTTACTTTATAGACAGTATGCAAGCTCAAAAATTGCAGCTAACCCTTCTCAAAGACGATGTTGGCGTTTCGTTGTTGTCATCTAACGGACGTTCGGAAATTTCCTCTTGCACGCCACTTTCCTCTGTCGACATGCTTTTGCAATTATTTACAAATCAGCAAAGCCCTCGAAACATACGTTCGTCCGTTAAATATAACTCCAATATATTTACGTCGTTTGCATATTCATTTAGTCATCATTGACTTGTTTGTACCCAAATGTCGAGATATTAGAAGAGATTGCTCTCCAATCAAATATAACCATAAAAACGTAGTAATATTTTATAATAAATGTGTAATTTCTAGAGCGTAATTTAATTTTAGATACTCCCCGTTGGCAGCTATAGTTGGAAAATAACAATATTAATTTTTGCATAACTAAGGTTATTTGCTCATCTGTTGACATTTGTTTTGACGGCGGGCAGTCCCGTCGATCGAGCATCGCTTACACTTATTGTCGATTTCAGTTAACTTTTCAAATGGCGGTTGCCAAGTTACTTTCTAATGTTGTCAGTTACATTTCCAAATATGGAATATTCGATATGAACTTGTCAACTTGAGTTGACAAGTTGTGTACTTGAGTATTGAAATTGTTTACTTCAATACTGAAGTTGTAAACGATCGTGACTAAAACACCACACGAGTACATACGAGTACATACGAGTACATACGAGTAACATACGAGTACATACGAGTAACATACGAGTACATACGAGTGACATACGACTATTTTCTGGTCAACAAATGAGAAACAACACAATTTCTTCAATACATTGATATTTGCGTTTATTTTTCCTTGTATTTGTGTGGACTTTGGGGCAACCATTTGATGGATTTAAATGCTGAAAAGGTATTTTACTTTCATACTACATTCATTTGTATGTTTTAGTTGAATTTGTTATGGATATTTTGTCGATGCGATTTGCCAGTACTTGAGCGCTTTTTGACACACTTTCACCTAGGAAATACATATTTATGAAAGCAATTATACATTCATTTTGGTCTTTAAGATACTGATTTTGCAGTTAAAAGACTGAATTATATCAGCTAGAACTTTAAAAACATTAAAAGTAAGCTGAAATTGTACACATAATATGATATATATACGTAACACAGTGCAACTCTCATTTAATTCAAATATATATAATGTGCATTTATTTCATATAGCACGTTTTGAAAGCATTATTTATACGTTGTTTATTTAATCGCTTTCATAAATATGTATTTCCTAGGAGGAAGTGTGTCAAAAAGCGCTCAAATACTGGCAAATCGCATCGACAAAATATCTCTAACAAATTAAACTAAAACATACAAATGAATGTAGTATGAAAGTAAAATACCTTTTCAGCATTTAAATCCATCAAATGGTTGCCCCAAAGTCCACACAAATACAAGGAAAAATAAACGCAAATATCAATGTATTGAAGAAATTGTGTTGTTTCTCATTTGTTGACCAGAAAATAGTCGTATGTCACTCGTATGTACTCGTATGTTACTCGTATGTACTCGTATGTTACTCGTATGTACTCGTATGTACTCGTGTGGTGTTTTAGTCACGATCCATCTGTACACGTGGTTTGAACATCACGTTCCCTCTGGCGAGGTGCAATAAAACCAGTGTCTACCCATAGATCTATTATATTTGATATAGTCTCATACGGTAGATTTAGTTGTTTCGAAATGTTTGTCAAACACTCGTTATTTAACCACATTTCAAGTATTTCATTTCTTACTTCTATTGGTAAAGCTTTTCCTTGCTTACTGAACGGATTCATCGCCAAATGTCTACAGGGTACAAAGACCTTTCGCGTTTGCCAGTACTTCGCAACTTTAGTTCACAACTTCAGTACTCAAGTACACAACTTCAGTACTCAATTACACAACTTGTCAACTGAAGTTGACAAGTTCGTATCGAATATTCCATGTTTGGAAATGTAATTGGCAACATTAGAAAGTAACTTGGCAACTGCCATTTGAAAAGGTAACTAAAATCAACAATAAGAACAGGTGCGCTACGTGAACAAAATAAGGCTATAAAATAGATATAAAAAATTCATAAATTAAGCTATTTACAAAGCATTGGATATAAGAAATAATATTTTATGATACTATGCAAGGTTTTTAAGGTTAAGTTATTTTCAGATGTAAGAAATATTTCTTTTATAATAGTTATGTGACCTGCAATTTTTGTTTGAAAAGAGGAAAAGAGTATGCTCTCTCCAACTTCAACTGATACAAAAAATTTTCATTTTGAGTTATTAGAACGTGGTTGTGGTTGGCAAATCCGCAAAGACTGCTTGAAATATTCCGTTCAGTTACAGCTGAATGTCTTATCTTTAAAATTGAACAAGTTATAGTAGGGAAGTGTAATAATTTCAACGCCAATCACTATGATCTGCCCACGCATGCATAAATTGTTGTCAGCTACCGTGCATGTATTGCATAAATTGTAGCAAGCACAAACGATTTGGAAATTTAACACACCTTCTGATCGTGTGTACGTTTTTTCAGTATCCATGCAGTTGCGTTTACGTTTGATGTGCAAGCTACGTCATGACCGCCATTTTGGATTGTTTTAATAAAGGAATTTCCTTATTTACACTGCAAATAAGCTACAACATGGCAAACATTCCATTGTTCTCTCACTCCCAGAGAAATGGTGGCACACCTCCTACTGGTATTTGGGGCTCGATTGTTGCTGAATAATGTAAATTCTAAGGTTTGTCTAATTTCTAAGATAACAGTTTTCTTTTAAAGCAACCAAAAGTATGCAAACTCCAATAGATTGCACGCAGTAAACAACTCCCTCCCTCTCCCTAAGCCAACAATCAATTCCTATTCCATATCTATAGGATTTAGCTTTCTATCCGAAATCTATAGGATCTAGCTTCCTAACGCAAATCTGCGCAAGTCCCCTTTCAACTAACGCATTGTGTTCTTTGTTTCGCCTAAAGAATGTTATCAAACCTATCAGGGAAACTAATATCTTGGACCAAGCATTTTTATTATCGCCATTTTTTGATCTAAAATGTTCCATTAGTAACATAATAGTTATCAGTTCATTCTAGTGTTGTTCAAGACTTCAACAACTCATTGGGGCCAGCAAGCTTGGGTGTAGGGAAACTCACAAAAATACAAAGCACAAAATACATCGACATATCAACCCATGAAGACAGTGCTACGTTTTTTGTTTGCTCCTGTGTCTATGTGTTCCGTCATTAATTCCTGATAGAGAAGGTCGGGTTCTTAAACTATCACGTGTTATTATTAAGTATTAATGAGGTATGTCTTGAAAATAATCTTCAGCTGCGGTCTGTCAACTTTGACAGTAGACCTATTTCTTTGACACCTGAGCAAAGAAACATCCTAGAAAAGGATAGTTTTGTAAATGTGATGCATGGGTGTTATAAAATCCATTGCTAGCCGATATTTTTTGAAGTATAACGAGAAACAAACACCGCAGAAAAGGTCCATTATATGTGGGTAGTGACATCATTCGATAACCGAGTAAAAACATTAAAAAATTTATGCCGTGGAAAGGTTGTCCTAACTCTGTCTTAAATTCATTCATCAATAAACTATTAATGAACCAAATTCAATCGTCAATAAACTATTCATGAAATAAATTAGATCATCAATAAACTATTCATAAACCAAATTCAATCATCAATAAACTATTGATGAACCAAATTCAATCATCAATAAACTATTGATGAAATAAATTCGATCATCAATAAAATATTAATGAACCAAATTCAATCATTAATAAACTATTGATAAACCAAATTCAATCATCAACGAACTCAAACGCCAACATAGTACATCGAATTATTTATCGCACAAACTCAAACCACTGATCAAAATCCACTTAAAATCTTGATACGATTTCCTGCAAGTTTCATAAGGAACAAAAAATTGCGCATAGTTGTCATATAATGCTCATATTCAAAACTACGTAAATGTCACATCAGACCGGTTTAACACATCATTATTTTTGACACAAAAAAGATCGCTTTTTTCCTTTTCAATTAATATAATCCGCCCCACCCCCCTCTATCTCCCTCTGAAAATGTAAGCGTTTTCAAACGAAAACGCAATAGTGTGGACTGGGTCTTATAGACTTCGATAAATGAACTCGCAGCAGACAAGTGGGCAGTTTTTGTTTCCCATTGGACCCTCACATTAATTTTTTAAAACATGAACTAATCAGTCGAATCAATCGAATATCGCACGCATTTGTTATTCATTGAAATCAAGGCCCGTTCAAAAGATCCGATTTGTCGAATTCGATTGAAAACATAGAATGAGCCTCCGTACCGTACGTCTAAAAAATCGTATGGAAATAGAACTTGCTTTATTTTTATCTGACAAAATCAAAGCAAGCCGATTATTTACAAACTTCTCATCCTCCATACTTTCTAAATTTGGTGTGGTGCGAAAAATTAGATTTGAAAAGACTTGGATGGAAACAAGAACAAAAACTAAATAAGTAAAATATATTGATGAATGAAATATGGATAGAACAAAGAGCTCCACCCTCAACTATTAATTTCCAAAAGAACATAAATTGGCAACAAATTATCGGAGCGTCATATTTGAACAAGGAAACAAAAGTCTAAGCTGAGCCAACCGGATCAGACAGATCAGATCATGATCGGATCGTGTGAATTGGCCTTTATATCGCTATCGCTACATAAAATACACTCCTACTTCAAAATTAAAACCTCTTTATTTTTATCTTTATCTTATTAGAGTGCAGTGACTATACAGTGAATCCAATAAATTGCCAGTTCCTGCCATGTATATCTTATTACGCACGTAATAACCATGATTTCGCACTGGAATTTTCATTAAATATGCTAAAAAATTTAACTACAAACCTCTAACACAAGCATAAAATCATTATATTTTTAGGAACCCCAAATATTTTAGTTTGAATGAACAAGGTTCATGTGAGATCACACATTGAAACCTGAGGATATTTTGGCAAAAAAGGGAGGGATGGGGGGCATAGTATCCAGATGGTTTATTTCAGGCCAAGATTAAAGGCAACTGCTAGTAATAATTCCGAGGATAAATTCATGGATATTAACAGTGAATAAGTGTGCATGATATTTGAGCATGACAATAAATATAATACTGATATATAATTTGCATAGAAAACTGTTTTTATTCTCAGTGACACAAAAAATATTCAAACAGTCAGGGTAGGTACAGTGTTTAATTGTTCAACCTGAAACGTTTTTCCTTACTACTAAAGTTCATACATGTTTGGACAAAGCAATTAATATTGTGTTGTAATAAATGGGCAGAAACTGAACAAACAATATATAACACAGTATGCGCAGCAATCTATATGTAAATCAAGCGGCAAACTGTACAATTATAGACAGGCAGGCCAATAGCTTAACACTTAAAGGACACTTCATTGCATGGTTTTGACATATAAAGATTGCGAGCCATTCGCAATTCACAGTACTCCAATATACATTTCGATTCCCTTAATTACGAAATCTGTTTAATTTATTACTACAGCGTGTGATTTCGACCGACAGTAAACAGCAAGACATGAATTCAGATAAAAACAGAAATTCATCGTACGTCGTAGAAGGCAAACCAAGATTTTATCAAATAAGCATACTCGATAGAGTACAAGACATCAAAAATTCAAAATGACAAACTCCAATGGCCAATTGTTTGAAATTTTCTAGATACAAAATACATTTCCCAATCTGGAGTTTTTCATTCAAGTTATTTCTCTCGTTTTCGGAAATCGTTTAAAGTTTAAAAAAACCGGGACGTCAATATTATCCTACCATTACATCACAAGCGTAGCGACCGAGGCATTCAAATACAAATTCATTACCTTTTATTTCAGTCTCGTCAACAGTAAAGGAAAATTGTGCAATTGGATCAGGTGTATTATGTTCATCGTGCAATCGTTGAAGAAGCGAGCTCATCTGGGGCTAACAGAATACAAACAAAGTCAAACACAATAAATACATGTTGCAATCCTCTAGTTTACTTTATAGACAATATGCAAGCTCAAAAATTGCAGCTAACCCTTCTCACAGATGATGTTGACGTTTCGTTGTTGTCATCTAACGGACGTTCGGAAATTTCCTCATGTACGCCACTTTCCTCTGTCGACATGTTGATTAGTTTTCACAAAGCAACAACAAACAAGCTTTTGCAATTATTTACAAATCAGCAAAGCCCTCGAAACATACGTTCGTCCGTTAAATATAACTCCAATATATTTACGTCGTTTGCATATTCATTTAGTCATCATTGACTTGTTTGTACCCAAATGTCGAGATATTAGAAGAGATTGCTCTCCAATCAAATACAACCATAAAAACGTAGTGATATTTTATAATAAATGTGTAATTTCTAGAGCGTAATTAATTTTGGGTACTCCTCGTTGGCAACTATAGTTGGAAAAAAACAACATTGTTGTCGATTTCAGTTAACTTTTCAAATGGCGGTCACCAAGTTACTTTCTAATGTTGCCAACTACATTTCAAAATGTGGAATATTCGATATGAACTTGTCAACTTGAGTTCACAAGTTGTGTACTTGAGTACTGAAATTGTGAACTAAAGTTGCGAAGTACAAGCAAACGCGAAAGGTCTTTGTACCCTGTAGACATTTGGCAATGAATCCGTTCAGTAAGCAAGGAAAAGCTTTAGCAATTCTAATCCGTTTGACGGCCCTCTAAGAGTGTAATAATGCGATACGCCGTTAACATTACGTAATAAATTTACAGTAAATGTGGCACTAAAAGCGTATCGTTGAATTTCAAATGCAGGAGTACCCTGCATACTGTGCCCTCGACGTCTGTTGCCACTCGTAACAACTACAGACGACTCATCAAAGAAATGTATTCGGTTGCAATCAATCAATGAAATATTTGCTACGTACGCTTCTAACTTCTCCATAACGTCCGGCCGTTCTGTCTCTCGAGGAATTTGAGTTATTATCTTGTAAGAGTAACCAAGATCTTTATTAAAAATTCTACTAATGGATGACCTGCTAGGCATGTTTGCTGAAAGGCAAACCTTGTTATTTTCTAGGTGTTGCTGAATCTCTTTTGCGTAAATAGATGGTTTATTAATTTTTAGATATTCAGTGCATGTAAAACGTCATCTGTACGCGTGGTTCGAACATCACGTTCGCTCTGGCGAGGTGCAATAGAACCAGTGTCTACCCATAGATCTATTAAATTTGATATAGTCTTATACGGTAGGTTTAGTTGTTTCGAAATGATTGTCAAACACTCGTTATTTAACCACCTTTCAAGTATTTCATTTCTTACTTCTATTGGTAAAGCTTTTCTTTGCTTACTGAACGGATTCATTGTCAAATGTCTACAGGGTACAAAGACCTTTTACGTTTGCTTGTACTTCGCAACTTTAGTTCACAACTTCAGTACTCAAGTACACAACTTGTGAAATTAAGTTGACAAGTTCATATCGAATATTCCATATTTGGAAATGTAATTAGCAACATTAGAAAGTAACTTGGCAACCGCCATTTGGAAAGTTAACTGAAATCATATTTGTAAATGATGATCGTCCATTTACATAATAGTTTTAACTGAAATCGACAATAATTTTGGCATGACTAAAGTTATCAGCTCGTCTGTTCACATTTGTTTTGACGGCGGGCAGTCCCGTCGATCGAGCATCGTTTACATTTAAAGTGCTTCTATGACGAAAACTTAACATCACAAAATCATCGATTTTAGCTTTCAATAGTTTAAACACATATCAATTATTGCTTTCGTAAAATGTAAGCAAAAATAATAAAATAACGAGGGAGTTATGAACATTTGAAATGGCCAATTTTCCTGTCCGCCATTAAAATATATATGCAATCAGCAAAGGTCTATGACGTCATAATCTTAACACGGCAAGAAGCGCACATTGGAAAGTATACAAAATAATACATAAATAGAGCAAACAAATGCCAAATTCATCGAGTTCTAGCTCGCTCTCAGAGTCTTTGATCGAGACAAACGCATCGGTTTCTTCATCGGAATTTGTGACGGCAACTTCGAACGAATCTAATTCGGAAATTTTGCCATTTGCCGATAATATTGAACCGCTTGCTTCGCCCGATGAAATTGCTGAATACGAAGCTGTAGTCGTAGAAGAACGGCGGGTTGAAGACATGCTGCAAGATCGTTTGATCTGAATCGTCTGCCGTTAGCTATGATAACTTTATGGAAACATACAATTTGACCAATATTAAAGGGGTGAATGTGGCCATTGTTCGTTGGATCTTGTTGTCAACCCTCAAGAGTGTCGATGCTGCATGGAAAGAGAGCAATGCCGTGGTAAAATGTATCAGTACGAAATCGATGAAAGAAAATGCATTTTGGATCACCCTGGCTTTAACGAAGTTTGCCTGAGCGAATTTGTTTTTCAAATAGCAGCTTCATTAGGTTTTAATAAAGCCAGTAGGTTTAAATCTTCTTTGTTCATGCTGGATACAGACACTTCAATTTGTATTTCCTTTAAAACCTTAGTATAAATGTATATTATATATTCGAAGTTTGCCTGGATATATTATTGCTTTCCTCAAATTGTGTAAATTTATCATCTGCAATATATGTAAGTATATAATAGTTGTAACTTGTGCTAACGCCGCTCTCTTGACGTTGTTGGTGTTGGTGATTTCTTCCAAATAGTAGGTACGGCACCAGGTTTGAGCCGTCTAGTCATACCACTCAAATGGAATAAACGCTCAAAACAATCTTCGAGAAGTGATTCGAACAAATCATAAATCGAATTTCGCGCGAGCTCGGATAAAAATTTGCGCGCTTCGTCTGAACAAATTTAACCCAAATTCTTCTCGAAAACTCGTCATTTGGGCTTTTATGCAAAGAAATGCCTGTACTTCTATCAGTTTTATTACTGCAATCTTGCCCGACACAGCGTGTTGGGATGTTAAAAAATTGAGTTATACAACCTTTTAAATCTCTATTTGTATTTTGTGTTATATTGTAAACAGCCGCGAGTTAAGACTATGACGTCACAAGCACCTTCCTTGAAAATTAAATATGGCGCCTTTTAATGGCGGCTTTTAAAGTTCAAGTTTTATCGCTACGTAACTCGAGCAGCATTAAGTATATTGCGATAAAATTTCGCCAGAAGACATTTTTTTGCATACACTTTTAATCTATGAAAAAAATGAGAGGCAAAACTTTCGTCATAGTAGCACTTTAAGAACAGGTGCGCAACGTGAACAAAATAAGGGTACAAAATAGATATAAAAAATACATAAATTAAGCTATTTACAAAGCATTGGATATAAGAAATAATATTTTATGATATTATGCAAGGTTTTTAAGGTTAAGTTATTTTCAGATGTAAGAAATATTTCTTTTATAATAATTATGCGAGCTGCAATTTTTGTTTGAAAAGAAGAAAAGAGTATGCTCTCTCCAACTGATACAAAAAATTTTTATTTTGAGTTATTAGAACGTGGTTGTGGTTTGCAAAATCGCAAAGACTGCTTGAAATATTCCGTTCAGTTACAGCTGAATGTCTTATCTTTAAAAATGAACAAGTTATAGTAGCTAAGTGTCTTGAGAACCATATTCAATAGCCCGGGCAGAGGCAGACGGCACCACGACTATTTTCCTCAAGTTAGGCTAAAATACAGAAATGTCAGCAAAAAATTTATCAGCCCCATCTACTTTGGCGCAGTGCCTGACCTGTACATCCTTTTTTTCTTGCCTTACTTCCTGAGTGTCATTTTCAATTCTTTGAGTGTCATTCTCAATTCCACTAAGCTGGATCATCTTAATTAACTACAGTTAGTTATATAATGAAGCAGACATCAAAATTATTTTATATCTTGTTATTTTGTAAGGAACTTATGGAAACAAGTGGTTGAAGATTGTAAGTATTATTGAACGCAATGCAAAACCTGCTCAGCATTTTCGATTCATAAAAACTCAGAGAAGTAATACTTTGCTCTGTTTACTTTCGTAATGAGCATGTTTCCTTCAGTGTCAAATGACAAAATTCTTCTTTCTTTGAAGTAGTCATTCGTCCAACGACGATGTTAATCGTCTTCATGATTTAGCAGAACACGATGCTGGAAATCTTGCCTTTGTAGCTATATATAGCGCTCAGACAAGGATAATGAAAAACTATTGCATTATGCGTTTTCAGATAAAGTTACACAATAAATATCCTATAGTTAGGTACCGGTATTAGTTGTTCCATACGTTTGTAGCTATCTGAATAAAAAGAAGAATTTAAATTACAGTGTAAGTATAAAAACTAGTGTTACACATGACATGACACATCACAAATGACAATTAAGTGAAGAATCGCCCAGCAGCATTGCAATAAAACAAAATTTGAAAAGTGCGAAATGAAGCAATGTTATGAGTGGAATACTATTAGTTAATACTTTTATTAGTTAAAAATCAAAATCAGACACGAAGTGTTTTCGATTAGCTAGTTTATTTCTGGAAATTAGTTTATTGAAAGCAACTATAGACCGTTGTGGGTGTTTAAAGTGTAATAGCAGCATTGTGTTTTACGTACTTAATAATTACTAATTCCATGTGTTGCTTATCTTTTTACTATTTGTGACGCGGATTTGCTAAACATTGTTTCTGAATTTCTCAGCACTCTCCATGATTAAACAAAAAATGAAATGTAAAGAAAGAAAAAATAAAGTTATGAATAAATAATGAAAAAGAAATAAAAGAAAAAATAAAACAAGAAAGAAGAAATAAAATAAGAAATAAGAAATAAGAAGAATTAGAAAATAAGAAATAGAAAAACATCAGAATACATTTTGATGTTCACCATAAATTCTTCAAGGCTGAGTGGCAGGAAATCAAGACATTTTTTGGAAGCATTCCTGTTAAATTTAGTTACTCGTTGCCACTTTTTTGTAACAAAAATAACTGCTACATGTAATAGACTTAAATCACGCCACACATTGTTAGCCAATAGGAATATGGCGAGGATAAGACAGTTCCTTGTGATGGTTGTGGTTCGTCACGGGGCTTTCCCGGTTAGTGTTTGTTCTACAGACTCTGACCTTGGTACTACGTATAGAAGAAACGACTTCAAGTTTGTCTTCAATCTTCATTTTGCTTGCCAAATTTGTCAATGTTTACGGCATTTTGTAACTGCTGCTGTGTTGGTGATTTATTTGTTACGAAATTACGTTGGCAGGCAACGCAATGAAGCGACAGCTTTCCGCTGTAAGGGAAAGAAAAGGAAAGACTACAATGGATAACGATTTCTCTCCGACACAAGATCTATCAAACGAAGACGAACTTATCGAATTGACTGCCGAGGAGTCAACACATGAAGGAAATGTCCATTCAACAAAGAGTTCATCGATGTCGTCTACAACTATAGCGAGCGACCTTGATTATACTCCGCGCGACCGTCAACCAAGTTTACAGGCTGATGCAGATGCTTCTAAGGTATTAATAAGCGCGTTCAATGATAGTATGATATATGTGCCTTATGTGCATATGTTTTTATTATTGCCTTGTGCTTTTTTGTCGCTTTGTATATTTTTCAACTTGCGAAGCTCAACAATTGTTTACATAATGTTTTACCAAGAAACGAAAGTAAACCTCTCGTGTGAGAAAGATACGTAGGAACTAGGAAGTTGTTTTAATTCTGTAGGAGAAATGTTGACATTTGAATAATTTTTGCTCGCCAAGAAACACTTTGCTTTTTGTTATGTGCTTGTTATGTTGCTATCTGAGAACATGTGTTTTGTATTGTGGAGCACGAGGTATAGCTGCTTAGTTAGGATTAAGGAAGGTTTAGTCGATGTTTACTGTAGAGTTTTTCCTGAAAAGATTCATACTAATGTCTCATGCACATTTTATGAATCGCAACACAAACTGTAACAATCATGCCACTTTGAGATTTAAAGTTTGGCTTGGAAAGTTTCCAAAGTTTAAACTTTAAAGTGCATTGTTGTATTTCTTTCTGCTTGATCTCATTGAAATAACAACATGATTGTATTTGCTCTGAGATTAGCTTTTTCGCTTATGCAAGTTTAAAATGTAGTTTGCATAGCAATAATTGATCTTGGTTTTGCTATTTCTAATTTTTAAAGCAAAATTGTCCGGATTTATGAGGTTGTACAAAGCAAACATTATGTCAACCAAGTGTAACAAAGGAAGATTATATTAATCTTTGTATGCATTTGGATAATACTGACACTACACATGTTTCTATTTTGCATTGCCGTCTTTTTTGCTGTCCAATTTATTAACAGTTTCCCTATCTTTCTCACGATCTGTAGGTAGAGCAAGTGAAATGGTAGCTTGTTTATCTAGAGCAAAAAAATGAAACAGAATCATGACTAACAGATAACACATATTCATTATCACAGTTAATGCATAATCATTATCTTACCATTATTTTGATACTTCTTTCATGACATGTGCATGTGTATAAGTGCAGTGTTCATGTTCATATCAGTGCTGTAAAACTAAATTTATCAGATGAGGGGGGCTCTCTTGACGAAGCTGAAGCCTTGAAATTATGAAAAATTACCTATTTCAAAGGTAGAAGGGGGCTCCTCCCCCAAGTGTCCCCCCCACTTCTACAGCACTGGTTCATATGTAGTTTCAAATAAAGAAAGGAATTGCAAGGATATAGGAATAACTTCTTAAAATCATGTTTTTTGCATAAAATAATGTGCAGCTTACTTAATTTTTCGCTCTCTAAAAATATATGAATATGTGCAATTATGTCATAACTTTCCTACCTACCACTAGTTTTCTAGATTTTCCATCAGCAAATGTCAAACAGGAATCTATTTTTTGAGATGCTAGATGCTTCTCTTGTTTTTATTTATCTAACTACTTTTCATGTCTTTATAGCTTTCTCAGCTGTAACTTAACTTTGTCGACAGAATGACATTCTTCCTTCTTGTATGAAGAGTCAATGCTTCCACAAGAAACATGCAATCACACACAGTTCAATAGACAGTTTATGTCTATTAAAGCAAAACATTTTGTCTACATAGTAATTTAACATCTGTATTTTGACAGAGTGACTAGATGCATATGGCTTTGTGACTACACATTAAAATTCTAGTTCTCAATTCTAGGGATTAAAAGAGACAAACCTCAAAACAACTAACTGCTTACCATCCAAGAGCAATAGTGATTGCTCAAAGCATCTTGAGCATCTTCATATCTATTGCCTGAATTAATCATTATCTAAAATGGCATGATGCCTATGCATATCATTTGCTTTTTGCATGATATTATTGTGTTCCTGTGCAGATGCGATGAAATGATGTGGGGAACTCAAAGCACAAATTGATTGTGTAAAAAACGGCCATTCACATTTGAAGGGGGGATGATAAAAATATGTGACTACATTTCAAAAAATTTTTGGGAGAAAGTGGGTTTTGTAATTGATTTTAATTCATTATTCTGCCACACACACACACACACCCCACCCCAATGCGCTTCCGACGCGCCTGCGCTATGTAAATATTTTTTGTCATCTGTGTTGAATCATCACATAATGACATAATCATTAATTATCTGTCAATGCGTAACACAACAAAACTTGCAGTGCAAGATGTCCAGTAGCGAAGTCAGCCCGTTTTTTACTCATACATTTTTGTGTTCAATCAATGGAAAAATTGCTTAAAATTATGCATTGTGGGAGCAAACGATTGGGCTGACTTCGCCACTGAGGTTCTCTACGCTTATAACTTAACGTCTTTAGTTTAATTGTTTTATACTGCTTTCCTGCAATGGCGATTAATGTACATATTCGTTAATATTGTTTAAAAATAAAAGTCTCTCCGGATTTTATAATTAATTTATTGAGCTTTCGACTCGTTATCTATTTACAGTAGATGCTTAGAGCAGCTTGTAGACGCCTAGAGCGTCTAATTGGATTAGCTGGTGGATTAATATGATTGGATGGGGTGAAATGCGTTGCCATGGGTTTTGGTGTATTGTGCATGTGATTGGTGTTGATATTATTAGAGAACGAAGCAACGAGTCGAAAGCTCAATAAAATTATTTATAAAATCCGGAGAAACTTTTATTTTTAAACAATATTATGCTTGGATTACCAATTTTTAACATTCATTATTGTATATATTATTTTCGGGTACTGTACATTTATTACTAAATCTCTCCAATTTTTAGACTTTGATTGGCCGAGGTGAAGAAAATCTTCAAGTATTGTTTCAAAACGTGAAGAATCGCATTCATGTGAAAGAAGCCGCTGACTCAGCTAAAGGCTTAGCGAGACACGTGATCGAAGCGGGTAAACGAGGCTGGCGCGTGGTTGGTCATGGGGAATTACCTGAGTGGTTGCGTGATAATGACTTCATTGATCATGGTCATCGCCCTCCTCTAGATTCATTCAAACTGTGTTTCCAGAGTATTTTCTACATTCACGCTGAGACGGGAAACATTTGGACGCATTTGTTGGGTTTCATTGCGTTTGTCGTCGTAGCGCTGTGTTTTTACATTCGACCTCTGTCTGTTGGTATGCCCTTTCCGAAAGATTTGAAAGAAAAATTTGTCTTTGGTGCGTTCTTTGGTGGAGCGCTTTTCTGTTTAGCTTTTTCTACTCTTTATCATACAATGGGCTGTCATTCTTATAAAGTTTCGAATATATTTAGCAGGTAAATTGCAACAATGAAACATTCTGTATTTCTATCAGTTAAACCTTACCCACAAGCAAACTCTCCTCTACACTAGTCAACTCTTCATTTCACCTGCACGTCACTTAACCCTCCATATGACCATAGTTGCTAAAATGACCACATCAGTCAAGCATTTCACTTAACCCTCCATATGACCATAGTTGCTAAAATGACCAAATCAGTCAAGCATTTCACTTAACCCTCCGTATGACCATAGTTGCTAAAATGACCAAATCAGTCAAGCATTTCACTTAACCCTCCATATGACCATAGTTGCTAAAATGACCAAATCAGTCAAGCATTTCACTTCACCCTCCATATGACCATAGTTGCTAAAATGACCAAATCAGTCAAGCATTTCACTTAAACCTCCATATGACCATAGTTGCTAAAATGACGAAATCAGTCAAGCATTTCACTTAACCCTCCATATGACCATAGTTGCTAAAATGACGAAATCAGTCAAGCATTTCACTTAACCCTCCATATGACCATAGTTGCTAAAATGACCAAATCCAGTCAAGCATTTCACTTAACCCTCCATATGACCATAGTTGCTAAAATGACCAAATCAGTCAAGCATTTCACTTAAACCTCCATATGACCATAGTTGCTAAAATGACCAAATCAGTCAAGCATTTCACTTAAACTTCAATATGACCATAGTTGCTAAAATGACCAAATCAGTCAAGCATTTCACTTAAACCTCCACATGACCATAGTTGCTAAAATGACCAAATCAGTCAAGCATTTCACTTAACCCTCCATATGACCATAGTTGTTAAAATGACTAAATCATTCAAGCATTTCACTAATTAAACTTTACTAAAAATTTAAAGGCGAAACAAAATGTAAAAGAGTTTCCCAAACCCAGCTGGCTTTAGTGCTTTATTGTGTAAATAACAAGGGAGAATTACAGATTTGCAGAGATTGGTTACTGTCTGCCCAGAGTGCATCAAGTACTGAGTCATGTTTTATTAGAAGTATTAGCTGAAGCGCTAGTCTTAATAGTTATAGAATTTACCGTTATACGGAAAATTCGATCAAATAGCTACATACAAACGCTGGTTATCAATACGCGTATGCACTTGAAACATTGGATCGGATTTGAGCATGATACGCGTATGCACTTGAAACATTGGATCGGACTTGAGCATGATTGAAATGCTAAAGTTTTGTTATTATTTAATTTACGGTAGGTTGGACTACACTGGAATAGCACTGTTGATCGTTGGGTCATTCATTCCGTGTCTCTATTATGGCTTCTTTTGTTATATAAAGACAAAAATAATCTACATGACACTTGTGTCTATTCTTGGACTTGGGTGTGTATTTGTCGCCATGTGGGAAAAATTCAACACTCCAAAGTACAGGGCGCTACGAGCAGGTAACGTGATTGACTTCAAAATGATCAGTTTTTAATTTCTTTCAAAATATTTCCTGCAATATGCATCACGATCCAGCGTACAGTACCGCTCGAGTATTTGTTAACATACGTTACGCGTATGAAACGCGTATTATACGAAAAACATACGCGTATGATGCGAGAACGATACATGTATGATACGAAAAGCATACGCGTATGAAACGAGAGCGATACGCGTATGATACGAGAATGATACGCGTATGATACGAGAGCGATACGCGTATGATGCGAGAGCGTTACGCGTATGATACGAGAATGATACGCGTATGATACGAGAACGATACGCGTATGATACGAGAACTATACGCGTATGATACGAGAACGATACACGTATGATACGAGAACGATACGCGTATGATACGAGAATGATACACGTATGATACGAGAATGATACACGTATGATACGAGAACGATACACGTATGATACGAGAACGATACACGTATGATACGAGAACGATACGCGTATGATACGAGAACGATACGCGTATGATACGAGAATGATACGCGTATGATACGAGAATGATACGCGTATGATACGAGAACTATACGCGTATGATACGAGAACTATACGCGTATGATACGAGAACGATACGCGTATGATACGAGAGCGATACGCGTATGATACGAGAGCGATACGCGTATGATACGAGAACGATACGCGTATGATACGAGAATGATACGCGTATGATACGAGAACGATACGCGTATGATACGAGAACGATACGCGTATGATACGAGAACAATACGCGTATGATACGAGAACGATACGCGTATGATACGAGAACGATACGCGTATGATACGAGAATGATACGCGTATGATACGAGAACTATACGCGGATGATACGAGAATGATACACGTATGATACGAGAGCGATACGCGTATGATACGAGAACGATACGCGTATGATACGAGAATGATACGCGTATGATACGAGAACGATACACGTATGATACGAGAACGATACGCGTATGATACGAGAATGATACGCGTATGATACGAGAGCGATACGCGTATGATACGAGAACGATACGCGTATGATACGAGAATGATACGCGTATGATATGAGAATGATACGCGTATGATACGAGAATGATACGCCTATGATACGCAAAATTATGTCAACAAATACGCGAGCGGTGCTGCATATAGCAAAGAAAAAATAAATTCATAACTTTCAAATTTCAGCGAAGGTTTTTCAGCGCAACAATTTTTTTTGGGCTTATGCACTTTTTGGCATTGATAGAAAACATTTGTATTCTTGTGTGTTAAACACTCCAGAGCATGAGCAATGAGTGATGTGAATGAAAGTAGTGATGAAAGACATAATTTTGTATAAAATTGTCTTCTTGTGAAAGTATCGTCGATGTCTCTTCTATCATAACACCATAATATTTTTCATTTCTATATTTTTGTGATTGTAGCGATGATGATTAGAAATTGTTGATGACTTAAACCATTTGACATTGTCACTATTGAGATAGATTGGGCTGCATGTTTACAAATTGCTAGACACTAAAAATTTTGGTATAGAACGCTGCGAACAAAGAAGTTCACTATTAACACACAAATTTTCCTTGTTAGCATGCATACACACTTAACATTAAGGTACTGGGATTGTGTAAAGCATAATATAGCATGGTTTCTTTTTTTTCTCCTACTGTACTTAGACATAGGTATTGAAGTGTCGGCAATTACATTATGTCTTCGTCAGTACATTAGTTTATGGCTGGCGTCATTTCGAATAAAATAGCGTACTTTCATTGGCCCAGAAACATTTTTTGTCCATTACACGTAGTTTTACAAACTTCCATTACGCGTAGTTTTACGAACAAATGTAAACAAATTTCGTAAAGCAAACGGCAAAAGTTTTGAAAACGCAAAAAAAAACAAAAGACCTTGTACTAATGTATGTCGAAGGGAGAACACTCGGAAAGTGAGTTTTATTGTCCAGACGACACAATTTCATAGGATTCATTTTTTACGTATGTAACTAGAGGAGTGAAAGCCAACCCTGGCAGGACAAGAAAAGAACGAAGGCTTTGTTCAAGATCATATAATGCCATGACATCGCTCACTCGGTGGGCGTCCTCTATAGCTACAAAAACACTTCGATCCGATATTCAGTTCTCTGTTTATAAGGGCTTTTATTAATTATTTGCAGGTGAAAAATGTAATCATATTTTTATATGAAAAGTAGAAATATCATAACATGCATCATGCAGAAAACAAATACGTGTTAAGTTGTTTTTTAGTTGCAGACTTTTTTATTTAGTGCTTTTTTCACAATCCTTTTTCATTATGGCGAAAAGGACCGTAAGAAAAAAGATATTTATACTGTGTTTGCATATAGGCGTATACAAACCTAGGTGATCATTGGGACAACTCGAGAGCTAATCATTGTAAGCCCGAGTCCAATGGTCATGCACCTGCTCGAGAGTTCTCACTAACGTCTCCGAGGTTTGCATTAGCCTGTGGAAATGCACGGGAAAATATTTTATTTCTTTTATGAAATAAAAATCTTTCGAAAATGATAAATTTAAAACAAATGTTTTAATTTATCCACAGTTAAAATGTTTGTCGTTCATCTGAAATTTGATGCTGCTATGAAACGAAGTACTTACTTTTATTAATATTGTACTTACCAAAAATGTAAATTCCATGAAGCATTTCGTCAAGAGTTAACGTGGAAAAACATTTCTCCGCGGTTTCTTACCTCTTACACGTATATCGAGTCGTGAGCCATTGATCGATTAAAATTTTGCGCAAGTCACTTTTTCCTGTCTTCACTAGTTATGCATCATTATAGAATTTTACCGATATACCGAATAACCGATATTAAAATGCCGATATTGTGCCGATACCGATATTTTATGTCATTTTACGAAACTTTAACATCATAAAGTATGCCACTTTGTGCTCACCAGGGACTGTTCATTTAATAAAAATATCTTATCACACGAGTATTGAAATTTATGCGCAAAAAAACGGTGAAATAAAAATCATATGCCTAAAATTTCTGAGCATCTAATTGGACATACGATTTTCTTCACTAATGAAAAGTGTCGTATCTGCAATCTGATTGGATATGCGATATTTTTCACTAGTGACAAATTGCATATCGTCATTGATGGACAGCATTAAAATTAAAGAAAACAAAATGATCTTTTTTTATTTCATTTATCAATGGCTTTTCAATTTGCCAAGACGCTATCCGTGAGCGAATTCAATATAAATGTAAGAAAGAGAAGAAGAAGAACAGCAGCACATTTGATTTCTTCTGTAATTTTCATCGTCGAAACATGACTTTCGAGGCATGGACAATAATCCCGTCAAGCAACTAAATGAATATCTAAGCGAGTCTATTAAGCTTTTGCCCGAAAGAAAAAGATAACGTAAAATACGAACCTACTTCCTTCGTGCACCACAAGTCTTTAAGCCTTTCAACTTTACAATGACATTCCATTCTGTTTTTAATTTTAAAGCGGTATTTGTTGGTCTCGGATGTTCTGGTGTTGTACCATGTCTTCACATACTGATCGCCCATGGACTGACAATTGCCTCAAAACAAGCCTCGCTTGGTTGGCTCCTATTGATGGCGTTTCTCTATTTAACTGGCGCCTTGCTGTATGCAACACGTATACCGGAACGCTTTTTTCCTGGAAAATGTAACATATGGGTAAGTATTGTTCTACCGCGTATGTTGGAGTAAAAATTTAGAACTTTTTATTTTTCGGCGACTTTTTTGTGAAGCGTTCATTGCTATTTTTTATCCTGAAACGAAAACTCACTGCACGCCTTTGCTGGGAGGAGCTGTGTCTTGTTCCAACCGGTTCTACCCAATGATTTAGAACCCAATCTAGATGTCTAACTACTGTGTCAAGGTTATTGAACTAAATATAACTGGAAGGCTACCTTCACTCGAAAGTTTGAAGTCGAAGGCGGCAGCATTCTTCCCAGTCTTTCCGCGATTATGATAAACACGGCCAAAACAAAATATTTCAGTGTTTTTGAAAAAAAACGTGAAACAAAGGAAATAAATCGCAAAAATAGTTTCAGAAAGATGTGTAAATTGGTACATCTCATTCATAGCAATATTTTTACGGTAGTGCATTATTAAAGCAATCGTTTTTGAGGAAAAAACGCAAAGCTGTATTGTTATGTTCACATTTCCTTAAAAAAATCTTTAACCACTAATGAGACTGACATAAAAACACATTCGAAGAGCTCCTGAACGTAAACAAATATATTTTATATAAGTGCTATTTACGAAAAACGTTGTTGTTTCATCTTACTCCGGCCAGAATGAATCAGAGCACAAATCTTTGCCATTTGTAAGTTTCACGTTTAAGAAATATTTGTTCGGCAGGAAACTCAAATTTCAGGAATCACGCATCGCGTGGCTGAACTCGCGTGATTTGACTCCCAGACACGCTTCTGGGAGTGAGATCACACAAAATTTTGGCTTCATTTCGCGTGTTACCGATATATCAGAGGGTAGCCTTCCCATTATATTTAGTTCAATGGACAAAGTAAGGCAGGGACGTCATCTTGAAAGGTGGCAAACCTCAAAATCAGAAATAAGTTAAAACAAAGTTTAAAAAAAACCATCCTATCAAACATTTTAAGAATCCAACCTAAACTTTCAACTTTGCAACTGTATAACAACTAAGGAGAAGCAGATTTTAATCGTAAATATCGTCAATTTTGCCGCCTTTCAAGATCAAAGCTTGCCTTGTTCGTTACTGTACAATTTCGGCGGAGTCAGATATCTAGTAGAATGGGTTCTAGGTCATTGGTTCTACCATTACAGGTCTTTCGTTGCCTACGAAGTTCTGATTTATTTTTTTCTTTCAGTTTCAAAGCCATCAAATTTTTCATATATTGGTCGTCGCTGGAGCGTTTGTTCATTTTCACGGTGTTTGTCAAATGGCATATTATAGATTTGCCGTCGGCTCATGCCCTGGGTAGTGCTCAAGACATGGATTTAGATTCACAGCTTATTATTTAAGTTAAGTGTAATAAGGTAATATATAATTGTGATTTTAGGAAGTGTTACACTGAGTTGTTTTTTTTTGAATCCTGTTTTCAAATCCACCTGCATGCATGCAGTAGCGGATTACTAACTACGTACGTAGACTAAGACAAAGCTGGGGCCTTCAAGTAAAATCTATAGATGCTTGATGTTTGGGCATGTAGATCGTTCAAGTTAGAGTGCTGAGCCGCCAGCTGAGAAATGTAGGTGTTGATCTTCACTAACCTTTCGAATATTCCCACTCTCTGTCTCTTTGCTTTCGAGTTTTCCCCTCAAGATATCTCCACAGCGAGTTGTTTGCGTCCATTGTTTTCTACCTATACTTTGTTTATACTTCTCCTCTTTGGTCTTCCGCTAAATTCGGCATCTTTCTAGCGATATTCAACCCCTTTGTTGAACACAATCTTAGCCTGGTGTCTCTATACCTTTGTTTATTAGCCCTTTGTCTCCCAGCGTTGCCGTAAAGCAACATGAAGAAAACCATCCAAAAGTCAAAGGATCCAAAAACTTGAGAAATAAAGGGTTGTTTAACCTGGGGCTCATTGCACGTAGTCTGGATAGTGTTATCTATTGGATAGCAAGTTTTTTTAAACTTCTATAAAACCTATTGAAAAGCAAAAAGTATGCGATTCGAACTGAACAATCACTGAAATAAAGCATAGTTTTGAAAATTACGAAATTTCGTTGTCATAAGAAAAATAAAAACACCTTTTTTAATGAGGATATGCAACAGGCAAAGTTAACAGCTAGCTGACGACAGACGCATACGTCAGCGCAGCAGGCAGTGAAAAGGGGTACATAAGGCGTAAGCTCACGAGTCAATCAAAACTATTTGTAACGCGACTGTGAGAACTTATAGCAGTAAGCAGAGAAACAAAATTGAGTGCAGTATTTTATGGCGAGTCAAAGCACTGCATCGGAGGAAGAGATCAACGCGTCTATATCATCAATACCATGGGAAACAGCCTTTCAATCACCAGCATTTGTTAATTGCCTCCAAAACTCAATCACACAAGTGCTTAGTAACAATTCGCAAGCAGCAGACCGAAGTCGGGCAACCCAACTGGAAAATCTGGGAAATCCTACGCAAATCTGTCGTCCGGAGGTAGGAGAGCACTCGTTGCGTTCCACTGATTCAGGTACGTTGATAGCTCCATATTTTATCTTTAGTCAAAGTGAGTTGTCGTCAGCGTAATCTACGCCTGCTGCCTTTAACAATTTACAAATGTCTGTGGGCGAAACGATGCAGAATATGAACATTTCTCCTTCAAGAAACGCTTCAAACGTACGTCCGGACTCTCCCTTCATTCTTGGCACTGATCGTTCCCCTATCCCTGGTAAACTTTTTAGAAAAATCATCTCGCATGACTTTATTGAACTGGCCGAGTTAATGCCGAAGAATGTAGATGATCCACAAACGGAATCATCCGTGTTAACTTTTGTTAGGTCGAATATTATATCTAAACCGGTATCATCAAAAAAGCGCGAAATCACAGATGTTCTGACATGAGTGAAGTACAAATTTTTTTTTTGTTTTGTTGTTGTTGTTATCGACCGTCTATTTATCTCTATCGTTATTTCCACCATATCGGTGTGAAGGTGTTAGTCGAGAGGGGGTGGTCAGCTTAGGATGTCAGGAACATGAATCCTAATCTCAACCCAAGGAGCAGTGTTTTGATGCCTAGGCCGCCCCTTAATCATACCAGCTAACTCCTAACCATCCAAATGGTAAGTAGAGTGAACTAGGTGTTAACAAGTTCGAAAATTTTTACTATCCAATGGATAACGTTATCCAGACTTCGGGGAACCGGCCCATGACATGTATCTGTATACATCTCTTGGATACTTCATTCTGACTGTGTATTTTTTATTGCTACAGTATATCCATATCTCATTGCTAATAATAGTACTAATTTTTCATTCTTACTCATTCGTCTCACAAGACTTCTTTCCAACCCGCATGGTACGTTAACTATCTGATAATTTGAGGATTTGTTTTTCGTATAAATACACACACCGCATAAAAAACGAGCTGGCGATGTCATTAACTTCGTCCCACCATGCCTGGATACCCCAGTTCACTCGTTCGCAGTGTGACCATACATCAATAATTTATTATCAAAAATGATTTGATCCGTGCAAAAGGTTGTTCCAAATGTTGCAATGACTTAATCAGGTAGGGCTGTCTAAGAACATCAGAGTGGATATGGTGATAAAATTACCAAATATGTTCACACTGCACTTCCTCATTTGCTCTGCCACATCATTCGACAGTTATGCTACATTAAATAAATGTAAGAACGGTTTTTAAATTGCTAGAATTATTGGATTTTTTTTAAGATACAGTTACTTGAAATAAACAAGTTAAAGTTCAAACTAACTCTTTTACTTTGATCGTTAAAACTTTTATATCAGTTGCAATATCACTTGAGTATTTCTCATCCAATCTGACAAATTTTGAAAAATAGTACTGACAGAGCTTCCTTCTTACATTTTGTCGTTTTTCTTCTTTTAAACTCCAGGCGATCTAAGAATGCTCAATGGCATCACTTGTGAACAAAGGATATCTCATTTGACGCTGGATTTTATTTTGATCCATGTATTTTCTTCCTGTGTAACAGAAAGAGAATTTTTAGAGCATGCATGCTTCATCACTTTTAAAAACACGTGACTCTCGCATTCATTTAAGAAATAAAAGATGTTTACTGTATTTTCACAGGCTTATGCAAACCGAGGAGAATTTGGGAGAACTCGAGACCAGATCAGTGCAAGCCCGAGACCGAGTGTCGAGGGTTGCAAATGCTCGAGAGTTCTCACAAACATCTCCATCTTTTATTACTTTTAAATTAACCATAATGCAGACGAACATTTTAATTTTTCCTCTAAAATATATTTAGGATCGATTTGCAAATTCTCTTGGCTGATTGATTGTTTTGATTGATTTGATTGGTTGAACTCAGATGTGTTTAGCACAGGCTAATCCAAACACAGCTCTTGAATAATCAGCGCACGCGTTTCATTGTGTTTATTTTATAAGATATTTTGAAGTTTTTGAAGCACGCAAGTTCTAAAAATCAGTGCTTTCATTACACAATAACTTGATACGTTTCATTCTTCATTGTGCAGAACTCATCACAGGTGGTCAAATCCTGCATTCCAACTTATCGTCGTAAATGAACTTTCAGTTTCGGCCGTACGTGGAAAGGTTGGGACTAGTAAATTGGTGACAACTTTTGGATGTTGGTAGTGTTTCAGTTATGTTCATTTCAATAATGCATGCATAAGAACTACTGATCTTGGTTTTTTTGTGACAACCTTAAGTACATATTTGCAAAGCTTTTTTGACAGCATTCAAATAAATTCCGCGTGTTTCAACTTTCGATATTGGCTACGCAACATCAAGTTGTCTGGCCTAGCCTGGCAAAAGATGTGGCTACAAAATGAAGTAAAACTGACGAACATAGTTCAAATTGAATTTTATGTTTAATATCATATTAAACTTAAAAAATGTTGAAGATTTCAAAAATGTGGTTTGTGCATACTGTTTAGTCAAATAGAGATGAAAATTGTAGACTCGTCTATTAATTATAATTTTTAAGTGTTTTGTAACTATTTCTATTGAGTCTTTTATACTGTGCTTTTTGAATCACTTCCACTAAACATGGGTTTGAGCGTACTAGATTATGATACTACAATTTTGATTCCCAATTTGTAATCCAAGAAATTGCTAAACTACATTAAATATTACATACAGTCAAGGATGTAAAACGGGGTAGAATAATATGAAGCTTAGCTGAGCATGCGCAAGGGCAAACCACAAAAACTTGCTGAGCCCTTGACACAAAAACTGAAACCCGAACAGTAACACAAGCTTTGCATTATAGCAGTATTGATAAAATATAGAAGCATTCTTTACCTAAAAACTTTATTTATCCAACATTTAACATGTCTGAATCGTTGGAGTATAAGTTGGCGCAAACACTCATGTGGAGTGACCAAGCTTATAAACTCGACAAATTTCTAAAGAAATTCAAACTTCCTCAAGTGGTTTTAGTAAAGGAAGGATTCTGCGACAACGATGAACAAATGACTTTCAGCAGCCATCAAATTTTAACCCTACATCAACTCTGGGTTACTCATAAGTTTGTTTGTCAAGGTGAAGACAGAAAAAAGTTTCTCTTGCCTGCAAACTGCGAGCTTTTGGCAGAGGTATTACCACTGGATAGCAATGATATGAATATAACCGCGAAGCAGTTGACCAAAACACGTCGGCGTATTAAGTACGTGCGAGTTTTGGAAGCCATCGTCAATGGGAGCAAGGATCCTAGAAATTCTTTCAAAACCAACGACATTCTTGAAATCAAGAAAATTGAACGCAACTTCGCAGGTATTCAATGTAGAAACCTTTCATTTGATCATGACACGTATATATCATCAAACGACGCATCGACGTTTGTCCCTTTACTGGACCCAAACCACTACACATTGGCAGAGATTAAAGTAAAGTATGGCTTTCCAGCTAAGATAAGATTCATAAATAAAAGAAACAAATTTGAAAGACGTTCAAATGATTCGGGACATTCCATGATTAATTTGTGCAGGCTGGGTGAAATAACGGCCATCAATGAAGTCAATGAAAGTGAAGTAATTGTCACCATGGTTTGCTCAAACGTCAAAGAAAAGGTGAAATCAATGAAACTATTTAGTTATTAAACCTATACAGACCTTATTTTTAACTTTTAAATTTCCTTAGTCCAAGCAATATTAATTGTAATTTTAAATTCAAATTACTAACTTGAGTATTACTTACATAAATATATTGATATAAATATAGGATATTTGATATTAGAGATCACGTTGATTGAGAGCCCAACTCGTTACCTAAACATAGCAATGTTTTATTTGATATAGCATACTTTTAGTCAGTTTGTTTGCTCTATATTTTTTGATCATTTAAATTGATTTCAGGGTATGACCAAGCTGTGATACATGGCGTAAGATTGTAACGTTCACTTCCCATTTTTTGAAAAAATAGTTGGTAGCTTTTTTAATTCGTGCATCAAGATAAGCGTTTCATACACTCACTCTTTTTTAAAGATGCTTTTTCAGTAGCTTATTAAAAATTTCCGTGAAATGATTGTAAAACATCAGCGTTTTGTACGCCTCCACTTGTTTATCTTCAAAAAACTTAAAATTATGCATCAATTGTTATATCATCATATTGAATGTTTCAAAGATTTTCTATACAAGATTTCCTATATGTATGTTTACTTGTATAACAATTATACTTGTACAAGCAGCTCTTCATACCTCTGCTTTTATAAATATGCATTGCTCTTCTTAGGTTTGCCTGAACGTTCCTGCAAAACTTGATATCAAAGTTACAGTGGCCGAAGGATTTCTCAAAGGTGACGAGAATTACGCAACGGTAGTTAAAACTTTAGACAAAGAACTCAACAACACTGACCTCGATGCATTTGAAAACCTGGATGTCTATGAACATGTGCAAGCGGTTAAGAAACAGATGCATGACAGGAACAATGCTTTTTCTGTCAGGAAAGCATCACTGGAAGTCGCCGATCAAGCACGTTATCATTTGGAACAAAAAATGAAAACAATGACGACTGATGACGCTCCGAAAATTCAAACTCAAAGTTTGACAACTTTGGACGAGGTGGTAATGATATCATTTCCAACTGCTAGTTTTCAATAGTTTTGAACCCATTCCCTTAGATGTCTAACTACGTGTTAAGGTGAGGTAAGGCGCAATAGTGAAAGGTGGCAAAAAGCAAAACTTAAAATGAACAATAAGTTGAACGAAAGCTTAAAAAACCACTCCTATCACAAATTTATGGAATCGAACCTTGACTGTCAACTTTGCAACAGTATACCAACTCAGGAACAGCAAATATTAGTCGTAAATATCACCAGTTAAGGTCCAGTTTTGCAACCTTTCAGGATGGTGCCTTGCTTCACTTGTAACTATGGAATTTTAGCTGAGTCGAATATCAAGTAGATTTGGTTCAAGGTCATTGCTATTTTTAGTTTTTTTGTAAAACAAAAAGGGCATTTTGCTCTATGCTATATAAACGCAAAAAACATATTTTGAATTTTAGGCAACGTTTCTAGTAAACCAAAAATGTTATTGTGTGACGACCTTTTGAATTTGATACTGGTATACACATGAATATGTATGAAACCTATGAATAAACAGAGCATTCTCTAAAACACGGTACAACGCAAGGCAACAGGGGAGTTAGTTGTTGATTTCTTCTGCTTTCAAAGATAACTGGAATGTAAAGTAGTATACGACAGACCTATAGGAGAGTCAAACGACTCAACTGACTAAAATATACGAGAACTAGTCTTAAGTTTGATACTATTACAAAAACATTTTTAAGTGCAAGCAACAAATTAAATTAAATATACTGGAAAAGTTGATTCTTTTGTTTTTCCCAGAAAGAATGTTAAGTATCAGAATAAGCTTAGACTAAATATGGTGGAAATTGCATGATGTTACAAATTGTAATGCTTTTCTTCCTACAACTATGATATAATGCTGAATAACATAACCACGTTTAATGTAACTTATCTCTAGCTAAACTAGTTTACTGGTTTCTTCAGGAAATTATGTAATAATACAAAATTAATTTTATCTTCTTTTCAAGCATTTGCAACCTGATATAAAATACTACACCTCAGTGCGACAAACTTCAAAAAATTAACGCAATTGTTTCTTTATTTTATTCTACTAAAATACTCGGAAAGTAACGCTGAGTAGTTTTTCGTTCCACGCAACTTATTTTTCTTACACTCATATGATGTTTTTATTCTATACTAAGACACCACCACAAGCGCCACTGAAGAAAACAAGAAAAAAAATAAAGGGCCGAATTTCTTCCAGCAAGGCAACGGATGATCAAAACATGCCACCAAAGGCAGAAAAATCAGATCATTCAAAACATAACGTCGAAGGATTTGTTTGCTCCTCGGGTGATGTGTTTGATGAAAGCAATTACACTTCATTAAATCCCACATATTCGGAAAAGATCGAGAAAAGTTATGAACCTCTCTTTTCCAAGGTATATTACCAAGAAATAATTTGTGTGTCACAATAAAGCTTGAGGCAATGCATTCACAGTTTTAAATGCAATCGTCATGTCAGTTCATCGCAGAAAATATTAAAGTTCAAGTGGATACAAATCGCACGATAGATTTAAAACATGAAAAAAGTCTAGTTGCCATATTAGTATGCATGCCATATCATACAATAAACTAGAAGGCTAGATCCCAATCTGCTAAATATCTGACTCCACCCAAGTTCCATAGTTACGAATGCCGTAAGCCGCCATCTTAAAAAGTGGCTAAACTGATGATATTTACGACTAATAGCTGCTGTTGACAGGCCATGTTTTATTTATAAAATAGTTGATAGGATTGGTTTTACCTTTATTCAAACTTATTGTCTGTTTCGAGTTTTGCTTTTTGCCACCTTTCAAAATGGCATCCTTTCCTCACCTTCACATGATAGTTGGATAGCAAAGATATTGGGTTCTAAATCATCGTATCTAAAGGGGCTCGACAAAAATGTAGCCCCTACAAAAAATACAAGTTTGTTTAAAGACAACAATACATCTATCTGAAAAAAATTGATTGGTTTTAGTCTGCTTACAACTTTTGGAAAAAAACAAAATATTTTTGCTAAAATAAGAAACAAACCAGTCTTTATATTAGAGCCATCTCGATACAAGATGAATTATGTATGCAACTTTACGTGAGTTCTTGTTACAATTAAAACATTCATGAAATCTAAGGGACTGCGAAGAAAAAACAAAAAACATTTTTTCAACTTTAGTTTGACTTACAGTAGAACGTTACGTGCATACGAACAAATGTATTTTGCTTAGATAACCTATTTCCTCAGTTTATTTGTTATGGATAACCTTGCATAACAAAAATATCATAATATCAACAATAAGCCTTCCTTTTTCTAAAATATTTTTTTTCAAGTGTGTGTTTGAAATTGTAGATGACGATTGCACACGTTCCCATTTTCATAGGGAACCCAAAACGTCGTTAATTTCTTTATAATGGCGACAAATATTCATATAATCGTGATCAGAAAACAATTGATTTCAAAAGAAAATAATCATTCAGGCAAAATACGCACATAAGAAAGTTAGCTCCCTCCTAATTATCAAAGTTCCATCTTCCCGGCATTTTTGTTTCACTTTTTTTTTAACAGGGAGCCTTCATTGTTGAACATATATCGAAGATCTTAACGACAAGCTACAAATTTATTACGTTGTTCTTAAATTGGGGGCTACTTTTTTCTTCACCATCTTGCAATACTTAATTTTCTTCCAATTAATAAATGTTGTCCCATTTCAACTCACAGTTCTACAATCTATGAGTTTGTGTAAAAGTGTCAAATTTTAATTTCATGTTTTAACAGTTTCAACACTCTCGCATGTGTTTAAATAATTAGCCAGACGGTGGAGATTCCATAAACCCTAGAAAAGTAAAACAAGGCGAAGAAACAAAAACAAAATATTCTTCAGAAGATCATTACGAATGCATTGAAGATGTGATCACCAAGGTAACACAAGCAAAAAATAAATCTTGTATGACATAGTATCCAAATGATGACACGATGATCGTGTACGATATTTTACATTTCACACGACTTTTACCATGCATGATGCACATTACTTCAACATAAAATTAAATTAGTATTATATGATTTGCCATAATAACATATGATTTGCTTGAACAGCAAAATCAACTCATATTTGCGTTTTTCATTTTTAAGACACCACCAAAGGTATCCTTGAAAAGCAAAAAGGAGAAATTGGAAAGTAAACTAAGAGCGATTGGAATCAATAAAACACCAAACAAAATTGAAAAGTCAACAAGACCAGAGAAGTCAGACGCTTTATTCGAAGAAAGTAGCGGTAGTGTTGCCACCGAGAATATGCTTCATCAACAGCTGTCATTAGCAGACAATATAGAAGCACACCATTTACCCCCGAATATACCATCAACTACGCACACTGAACATAATAAAGAAGCAATATACCATGCGTTATCCCGATATCCTCAAGATTTGTCCCGTCTAAGTATAGAAGACGTTAGTCAACTACTAATGTACCTGGGAATGAAGAGAAACGTTGAAACTTTTGAGAACGAACTGATTGATGGATCAATGTTAATGACTATAGATAAAGAATGTCTTGAGAGTTTGAATGTAAACACGTTTCATTGTAACAAGTTGCTGCGTTTCATCAATGGTTGGCGTCCTAAAGTTGGCAAGTCAAAAACTTCTTTAATGTAATTATAAAGATCAGTTAAGCTGTAAAGTGGCGTTTGGGATATAACAAACCGAACCGAAAAAATCATTTTTTTGTAAAATGAAAGGAACATATGTATTAAGGAAATAATATGGCTTTTCTCCTTTAGTCGTTGTTAATGTAAAAATAGTCAAGTGGATAATGCGTCTGACCATACGAATAAAAGAAATGCAGCAGGATCGAGTGGTGTCAAAATCGATCGTTTTATTTTGTGAAAAAAAATCAAACAACTGATTTATTTTGAAATTAATCATTTTATTTTATAAAAATATTTGAAGTTATTTTCAAAGATTCAAAATAGCAAAAGTTTAATAATTTTCTATTCCAAAAAAGTTTCTTCTGAAACATTGAACAAAAATAGGTACGAATGCGTACATGTGGGTAGCCTGTCAAGTGCATGTCTAGTAAATGAAGTAGATTTAATGAATATAGTTCAAATAAGATTTCGTATTTAATATTATTTACGTCAAACTTGTTCAGGATTTGAAAATTTTTTTTAGTATTGTTTAACTCTTTCTGCTTTTTTCGAGGCTGTAGCTTAGCTTGAATGTCACGTGACTGGGCTGACGAGACTCGCAGTGAAAAGTGATGTCATTTAGATTTCTTGCGACTTTTAAAAGTTTTTTTTTAACCGAAAAACATTTTTTTCTAATACTGTTTTTCAAAAAAGTTTTCTAAAGAGTCTGAGATGCCGTTCATACAACTGATAAATCAACAGGTTTATGACATGGATTAGATTTCATAGATAGACACTTGTATTGTACTATCGAAGTACTTGATATTATTATATATATAAAGACATTAGACACTTTTATATTTAGCCAACGGGCCGTGTTGATTAATTTTCCTTTTCCTAATCACATCTTGAAAAGTCTATAAATCCAACGAGTTTGTGTTTATTGCAAACAATGTTTGAAAATACACGCTTTGTACATTGCAAGAGATCGCAAGTATGTTCTCTTTCTCGTTTACAGTTTGACACATCATATTTCACTCAATTTAAAATTGAAAATTCAACTAATATTTGTATTTCATACAAAATTCAAAAGCGAAATAAATTCATTTGCTTTCTGCGTTTGATTAAATTCACCAACAGAGTACTGTATGTCTGTATGTGTGAACCAAGCAATGTAAAAGAAATGGAAATAATACCGAATTGGACTAAATACCAGACACTACATAGTACTAACGACTAAGTACATAGGTTGCTTGTACCGCACACTGGAACGAAATATAATTGTGATATACGTTATCACCTGTGAGCCGGCATTTTACTAGTATCTTGACTTTAAGTTATTAGTCTTTTATGAAGTTTGTGAAGAGTAAGATCATTCATTAGTATAAGTTACGAGTAGAGCTCGTGTTTCTTTCCGCTTGAATAGATATATAACACATGCGATATCATACAAGTCAATTTATTAAGCCGCGATACGATATTTTTAGTTAATATTTCTCAAAATGAGAACAATTTGATAGGAATATGCCATAATTATTATAAATTATTAAGCGCAACAGGTTGTCAAAAACATGGATGCCGCCATATCTTATATGGCACATTTTGGTTGAAAATATCAGCGGAAAGCGACAGGCTCATCATGACTTATAAACGTTTTCTCCCCTCCGGATTTTCAACCAGCTTTTATTTAAGATTATAAAGAATACTTTATGTTTATTTAACTTTTACTATATTAGTGAAAGTTTGACCGTATTATGTATAATCCGAATATCGGATCACGCAATTTCTTTAAAAAAACTATTATTCTAAACTCGATTTTAAAATTGCATCAATAAAAATGCTGCAGACACTTATGTAGTATACAGACAGATGCCGAAGTAGTGCAAGAAAAGAAAACTTTTATCATACCGGTAAGAAAAATCGTATTGTTTATTTATTATCATTCGTCATTCATAATTCAAAGTGTTGATTTTCGTATTTTTTGCTATACTTGACGTGTGATGACACATTTAAGGGTTGTTTGTCCAAACCATTTTTGTTGTTTACTTGTTTGTTAGACACTGGTCATTGTACCGATTTGCGCGTGTATTTCATAAAACGCTAAAACATATCTTTCAATCAAAAACTGCGTGGTGTAGTCTGGTTGTTTTCACAGGTTGAACGTCCTAATGAGACATTATTATAAATTAATCTAGTCAAGAGAAAGTGAATAATAAAAATAATTTTTCAAGTGGAAGTTGTTCCACCAAAATTTCCTTTTGGCATTCATGTTTTTGACAACAGTTCCCAGACCCTAGAAATCAATGGGTTTGACACCCCAAATTTAATGTTTCCTTACTAAAAACTCGTTCTGGTTCGATCGATAGAATAAAAGACGAGTTGTTTTACTTTTTAATTAATCGAAATACTGAATACATAGTAGCTACAGAATAGATAAAGTTACAGAAGGCCCACTCAGCCAAAATTGTGGAGTCTGATTTCGATTCAGAAGATAGCAGATTCGACTCCTGCCGAGGTTGGATGTACAATTTTTTAAAATTCCGAAACACTCTTCTGCTTTTATTAAACATAAATATTTTTTCTTTTGTCCTATAAACATCTTTCAATTCAATTTTAGAGCTTTACATTTTAAAATGATTTTAATCGAAAACTGTATCTTTTATAATCATTAAGAAACATATGTATACTTAAAATAGAATTTTTCATATTTGCAGCTATCTCAGGGAATCATGGGGCCTCGTGACCAAATGGACAAGGCATCTGACTACGAATCAGAAAATTGCATGTGGGACTCCTGCCGAGGTCGGATGTAAACCTTTTTTTGTTCGAAACATACTTTTCTTTTCATGAGTATTTTTTGGTTCAATAAACATCTTTAAATTCATTTTTAGAGCTATTACATTTTAACATGTTGTAAAATAAATTAGTTAAAAACTGTATCGTTCGTAATCATTAAGAAACAGTTATTTTCTGAAAATAGAGTTTTCCATATTTGCCGCTGCCTTAGTGTTTTATGGAGCCTCGTGGCTAAAAGGAGAATTTGTCGAAAACTGTATCTTTTGTAATCATTAAGAGACAATCAAAAACTCAATATACAGTTTTCCATATTAGCAGCTGTGTCAGTGAAACATGGGAACTCGTAGCCAAGTGGACAAGCGTCTGACTACGAATCAGAAACTTGAAGGTTCGACACCTGCCGAGGTCGGATGTAAACCTTTTTATCTTCTAAACATTGTTTTCTTTTCATAAGTTATATTTTGGTCCTATAAACATCTTTAAAATCATTTTTAAAGCTATTACATTTTAAATAATGTAAAATAAACTAGTCAAAAACTGTATCTTTTGTAATCATTAAGACATAGCTATATCCTTAAAACAGAATTTTTCGTCTAGGAAGCAGCCTCAGTGAATCAAAGGGCCTCGTGGCTAAATGGAGAAGGCGGCTGATTTCGAATTAGAAGATTGCAGGTTCGTCTCCTGCCGAGCTCGGACATACATCTTTTTAACGTGTAAACAAACTTTATTTTACATTAGTATTTTTTGGTCCTATAAACGTCTTGAAAGTCATTTTTAGAGCTTTTACATTTTAAAATATTTTAAAATAGTTTGTCGAAAACTGTATCCTTTGTAATCATTAAGAAACATATATATATATATACTTAAATTAGAATTTACCATATTTGCAACTATGTCAAAGAATCACGATGCTTCGTGGGCAAATAGACAAGGCGTCTGACTACCAATCAGAGAACTGAATTACATTTTAAAATCTATTCAGATAAATTAGTTGGAAACTGTATCTTTTGTAATCATTAAGAAACAGCTGTATTCATAAAACATAATTTCCCATATTTGCAGCTATTGTAATGTATCATGGGGTCTCGTGGCTATATGGAGAAGGAGTAAGACTTAGATCAGAAGATTGCAGGTTCGACTCCTGCCGAGGTCTGAAGTACATCATTTTATCTACTAAACATTCTTTTCTTTTCAAGAGTGTTTCTGGTCCAATAAACATATTAAAACGTCATTTTTAGAGCTATTACATTTTAAATAATGTAAAAGAAACCAGTCAAAATTGTATCTTTTGCAATCGTTAAGATACAGCTATATTCTTCAAACAGAATTTTTCATCTAGGCAGCAGTCTCCGTGTACCAAATGGCCTTGTGGCTAAAGGGAGAAGGCGTCTGACTTCGAATCAGAAGATTGCAGATTCGACACCTGCCGAGGTCGGAGGTACATCTTTTCATCTTTGAAACATTTTTTTTTTTCATGAGTGTTTTCTGGTCCAATAAACATCTTTAAAGTCATTTTTAGAGCTATTACATTTCAAATAATGTAAAATAAACTAGTAAAAACTGTATTTTTTTAGTCATTAAGAAACAGCTATATATTTAAAACCAGAATTTTCCATATTACGGTTTCCTATTTGTAGTATGGGGCCTCGTGGCTAAATGGAGAAGGCCTTTGAATACGAAGCAGCAACTTGCATGCTCATCACCTGCCGAGCTCGGACGAATATCTCTTTAAGTTCTAAATTAACTTTGATTTACATGAGTATTTTTGGTCCTTTAAAAATCTTGAAAGTCATTTTTAGAGCTTTTAAATTTTAAAATCTATTAAAAAAAATTTGTCGAAAACTGTATCTTTCATAATCATTAAGAAACTGCTATATTCTTAAAGTATAATTTTTCCATATTTATGACTATGTCAATGTAACATGGGGTCTCGTGGCCAAATGGACAAGACGTCTGACTACGAATCAGAAGATTGCAGGTTCGACTCCTGCCGAGGTCGCAGGTTCATGTTTTTATCTTCTAGTCATATTTTTCTTTTTATGAGTACTTTTCGGTCGAATAAACATCTTGAAATTCATTTTTAGAGCTATTGCATTTTAAAATGTTTTAAAAGAAATTAGTCGACAACTGTTTTTTTTAATCATTAAGATACAGCTATATTCTGAAAACAGAATTTTTCTTCAAGGCAGTAGCCTCAGTGTATCAAAGGGGCTCGTGGCTGAATGGAGATCATGTTTGACTTCGAATCAAAAGATGACAGGTTCGACTCCTACCGAGGACGGAGAAGCATCTTTTCATCTTCTATACATACTTTTCTTGTCATGAGTGTTTTTAGGTCCAATAAACATCCTTCGAGTCATTTCTAGAGCTAACACATTTTAAATAATGTAAAATAAACAAGTAAAAAACCTAGTCAATTGTAAACATTCGGATACAACTATATTCTTAAACAGAACTTTTCATTTATTCAGCAGCCTGAGTTTACAAAATGGCCTCTTGGGTAAATGGAGAAAGCGTCTGACTTCGAATCAAAAGATTGCAAGTTCGACTCCTGCCGAGATCGGACGTATATCTCTTCATCTTCTAAACATGCTTTTCATTTCATGAGTACATTTTGGTCCAATAAAAATCATTTCAGTCATTTTTAAAGCTATTACATTTCAAAAAATTTAAACTAAACTAGTCGAAAACTGTATTTTTCCTAATCATTAAGATACAGCTATATTCTTAAAGTATAATTTTTCCATTTTTATAACTATTTTATTATATCATGGGGTCTCGTGGCCAAATGGACAAGGCGTCTGACTACGAATCAGACGATTGCAGGTTCGACTCCTGCCGAGGTCGGAGGTTCATGTTTTCATCTTCTAGTCATAATTTTCCTTTTATGAGTAATTTTTGGTCGAATAAACATCTTTAAATTCATTTTGAGCTATTACATTTTAAAATGTTTTAAAATAAATTTGTCGACAACTGTTTTTTTTAATCATTAAGATTCAGCTATATTCTTAAAACAGAATTTTTCTTCTAGTCAGCAGCCTCAGTGTATTAAATGGCTCGTGGCTGAATGGAGACGCCGTCTGACTTTGAATAAGAAGGATGCAGGTTCGCCTCCTGCCGAGGTCGGAGGTACGTCTTTTTATGTTCTAATCATACTTTTCTTTTCATGAGTATTTTTGTACAATAAATATCCTTAAATTCATTTTTAGAGCTTTTACATTTTAAAATATTTTAAAATAATTTGTCGAAAACTGTATCCTTTGTAATCATTAAGAAACATATATATACTTAAATTAGAATTTATCATATTTGAAGCTATGTCAGAGAATCATGGGGCCTCGTAGCGAAATAGACTAGGCGTCTGACTACAAATCAGAAAATTAAGGTTCGACTCCTGCCGAGGTCGGATGTAAAACGTTTTCATCTTCTAATCATTGTTCTTTTTCCATAAGTAATATTTTGGTCCTATTAACATTTTTAAAGTCATTTTTAGAGTTATTGCATTTTAAAATCTTTTCAGATAAATTAGTCGAAAACTGTATCTTTTGTAATCATTAAGAAACAGCTGTATTCATAAAATATAATTTTCCATATTTGCAGCTATTATAATGTATCATGGGGTCTCGTGGCTATATGGAGGAGTATGACTTGAATCAGAAGATTGCATGTTTGATTCCTGCCGAGTTCGGAGGCATTTCATTTTATCTTCTAGACATAATTTTCTTTACATGAGTGTTTTTTGGTCCAATAAACATCTCTAAAGTCATTTTTAGAGCTATTACATTTTAAATAATGTAAAAGAAACCAGTCAAATATTGTATCTTTTCTAATTTTTAAGATACAGCTATATTCTTAAAGTATAATTTTTGCATATTTATAACTATTTCAATGCAATATGGGGTCTCGTGGCCAAATGGACAAGGCGTCTGACTTCGAATCAGAAGATTGCGGGTTCGACTCCTGCCGAGGTCGGAGGTTCATGTTTTTATCTTCTAGTCATATTTTTCTTTTTATGAGTATTTTATGGTCGAATAAACGTCATGAAATTCATTTTTAGAACTATTACATTTTAAAATGTTTTAAAATGAATTAGTCGTCAACTGTTTTTTTTTGTAATCATTAAGATACAGCTATAATCCTAAAGCAGAATTTTTCTTCTAGGCAGCAGCCTCAGTGTATCAAAAGGCTCGTGGCTGACTGGAGACACCGTCTGACTTCGAATCAGAAGAATGCAGGTTTGACTTCAGCCAAGGTCGGAGGTATATCATTTTATGTTCTAATCATACTTTTCTTTTCATGAGTATTTTTGGTACAATAAATATCCTTAAATTCATTTTTAGTGCTTTTACATTATAAAGTATTAAGAATAATTTGTCGAGAACTGTATCCTATGTAATCATTAAGAAATATATATACTTAAATTAGAATTTATCATATTTGCAGCTATGTCAGAGAATCATGGGGCCTCGTTGCTAAATAGACAAGGCATCTGACTACTAGTCAGAATATTGAGGTTTGACTCCTGCCAAAGTCGGATGTAAACCTTTTCATCTTCAAAATATTGTTTTTTTTTCTAAGGTACTATTTTGGTCCTATTAACATCTTTAAAGTCATTTTTAGAGCTATTACATTTTAAATAATGTAAAAGAATCCTGTCAAAAATTGTATCTTTTGCAATCATTAAGATACAGCTATATTCTTAAAATATAATTTTTCCATATCTATAACTATTTCAATGTAACATGGGGTCTCGTGGCCAAATGGACAAGGCGTCTGACTACGAATCAGAAGATTGCAGGTTCGACTCCTGCCGAGGTCAGAGGTACATCATTTTATGATCTAATCATACTTTTCTTTTCATGAGTATTTTTCGTACAATAAATATCCTTAAATTCATTTTTACAGCTTTTACATTATAAAATATTTTAAAACAATTTGTCGAAAACTGTATCCTATGTAATCATTAAGAAACATATATATACTTAAATTAGAGTTTATCATATTTGCAGCTATGTCAGAGAATCATGGGGCCTCGTTGCTAAATAGACTACAAATCAGAAAATTGAGGTTCGACTCCTGCCGAGGCCGGATGTAAACTTTTCAATCTTCTAAACATTGTTTTTTTCATAAGTAATATTTTGGTCCTATTAACATTTTTAAAGTCATTTTTAGAGTTATTGCATTTTAAAATCTTTTCAGATAAATTAGTCGAAAACTGTATCTTTTGTAATCATTAAGAAACAGCTGTATTCATAAAATATAATTTTCCATATTTGCAGATATTGTAATGTATCATGGGGTCTCGTGGCTATATACAGAAAGATTATGACTTGAATCAGAAGATTGCAGGTACGACTCCTGCCGTGGTCGGAGGTACATCATTTATCTTCTAGACATAATTTTCTTACATGAGTGTCTTTTGGTCTTTAAAGTCATTTTTAGAGCTATTATATTTTAAATAATGTAAAAGAAACCAGTCAAAAATTGTATCTTTTGCAATCATTAAGATACAGCTATATTCTTCATCTAGGCAGCAGCCTCCGTGTACCCTTTTCATCTAGGCAGCAACCTCCGTGTACCAAAGGGCATCGTGGCTAAATGGAGAAGGCGTCCGTTTTCGAATCAGAAGATTGCAGATTCGACTCCTGCCTAGGTCGGGGGTACTTCTTTTCATCTTTTAAACATTTTTTCTTTTCATGAGTGTTTTCTGGTCCAATAAACATCTTTAAAGTCATTTTTAACGCTATTACATTTTGAAAAATGTAAACTAAACTAGTCAAAAACTGTATATTTTCTAATCATTAAGATACAGCTATATTCTTAAAGTATAATTTTTGCATATTTATAACTATTTCAATGCAATATGGGGTCTCGTTGCCAAATGAACAAGGCGTCTGACTTCGAATCCGAAGATTGCGGGTTCGACTCCTGCCGAGGTCGGAGGTTCATGTTTTTATCTTCTAGTCATATTTTTCTTTTTATGAGTATTTTATGGTCGAATAAACATCTTGAAATTCATTTTTAGAGCTATTACATTTTAAAATGTTTTAAAATGAATTAGTCGACAACTGTTTTTTTTTGTAATCATTAAGATACAGCTATAATCCTAAAGCAGAATTTTTCTTCTAGGCAGCAGCCTCAGTGTATCAAAAGGCTCGTGGCTGACTGGAGACACCGTCTGACTTCGAATCAGAAGAATGCAGGTTTGACTTCAGCCAAGGTCGGAGGTACATCATTTTATGTTCTAATCATACTTTTCTTTTCATGAGTATTTTTGGTACAATAAATATCCTTAAATTCATTTTTACAGCTTTTACATTATAAAATATTTTAAAACAATTTGTCGAGAACTGTATCCTATGTAATCATTAAGAAATATATATACTTAAATTAGAATTTATCATATTTGCAGCTATGTCAGAGAATCATGGGGCCTCGTTGCTAAATAGACAAGGCCTCTGACTACTAGTCAGAATATTGAGGTTTGACTCCTGCCAAAGTCGGATGTAAACCTTTTCATCTTCAAAATATTGTTTTTTTTTCTAAGGTACTATTTTGGTCCTATTAACATCTTTAAAGTCATTTTTAGAGCTATTACATTTTAAATAATGTAAAAGAATCCTGTCAAAAATTGTATCTTTTGCAATCATTAAGATACAGCTATATTCTTAAAGTATAATTTTTCCATATCTATAACTATTTCAATGTAACATGGGGTCTCGTGGCCAAATGGACAAGGCGTCTGACTACGAATCAGAAGATTGCAGGTTCGACTCCTGCCGAGGTCAGAGGTACATCATTTTATGATCTAATCATACTTTTCTTTTCATGAGTATTTTTCGTACAATAAATATCCTTAAATTCATTTTTACAGCTTTTACATTATAAAATATTTTAAAACAATTTGTCGAAAACTGTATCCTATGTAATCATTAAGAAACATATATATACTTAAATTAGAGTTTATCATATTTGCAGCTATGTCAGAGAATCATGGGG